TATATATATAACACTGACATCTTCCCGATATCTATATATATATGTGTGTGTGTGTGTGTTATATGTAAAAATTAGAACATTTTTCTAATTTTTTTGTATCTAATCTACATAATACTGCAGTAATTTGAATGTACTTTGGTATTCAACCCAAACAACAGTGATTATGTCTAGGTTCAATATTTTTCAGACCTGTTTATAATGTTAATAAAGGTTTCTCTATTACTGAATGAAATTAATGCCTGCTTTATTGCAGTTTCTTCTCACAATAAGATCGTGCATGCTGTGGGGGACTGTGTGTGGGCTCACTACCTCAACGCAACAGACAAAACAGGCAGACGTGGAGTGTTACCGCTGTCAGCAGCGCAGCAGCAGGAAGTGTGGGTGCAGTACTCTGCACTGCAGGTAGCACTGCAGGTAAGGAGCTATCCTCAAACTGTTTTGTGTGATGACATGAAGCTCATACATCTAAATTTGGCCAACTTCTTTCCCCAGGCGTATTATCGCAGTCTAAACCAGGACCCTGCTGACACATCCTTATTAGGGACATACCATGTTCATCTGTTTCTCAGAGCTTTTTCCCAGGTAATTTGTTCATTCCTTAACTACTAAAGCATGTCACGTCAATGTAGGCAGAGATGCTTGAAAAATGTGAAATCAGAACAACTTCGTGTTGGATAGGTAACCTTCCCAGACAAATAGAGGAGTGGTTTAGGGAAGACCTACTCCTGAAATGTAGGCTATGTTCACACTGCAGGCAAAAGTGGCTCAAATCGAACTTTTATGCCCACATACAACCCATATCTGTTTTTTAATAGATCTCAACATGACAAATAAGATTTATTTTTTTCTTTCAAATCCATGTCAGGGGAATTTTGGTCAAGGTCAAGGATGTTTGTCACTAATGTTAAGTGCCCATGAATCATGTGTTCGAGTTAGCAGGAGCTGAATGAGGAGCTGCTTTGATACTGCATGTGCAGCCAGTACTCCAAGGTCAACTCTGAGTCTGGAGGAGGAGCTGATAAGCGTGTATTATATATACTTCTGTCTTTGTGCATCTCCTTTTTGTAAAAAGAATGATGAAAAGATGTATTTTATCCAACCCAGGTTACTTTAATATGTGGGAATAAATCGACTGCACTTCTGCTTTATACTGATACTGATGCATACTGATTGGCCATGACATAATGAAGTTTAGAAGCAGAAAATACTTATTTTCAGCTACAGAAAAGAAGTCTTTTTTTTTACTGTTTAGATTTGCCACAGCCCGGATGACTTGAGAATCTTCACCGACATGATGCCATTGATGCAGGATTGCATCAATACTAGTGTGGATGGATCGATTCTTGTTTTTCTCACTACTTTAAGAATGTTGCTCCTGTTCCAGAAGTGTAATTCTGCTTCAGAATAGATGGAAAGCTGCAAGATTAAATATTAACACTGGACAAAACGAGCAAGGCAAATTATTTAGTTGGCTCTGATTGCACAACTTCTGAATCGATTTGCACACGCTACAACGTGTAGCATCCATATTTACGTTTTTTTTTTCCTGCGCATGCTACTCACGTCAGGGCCATGGACTGCCCACGCTGGAGTCTGATGACGGTCGCATTTAAATTATAATCCGAACGACCACACAAAAAAATTGGATCTGATCAAAACAGTGGAATTGAGCATTAAGCCCTGCAGTGTGAATTAGCAAGATAAGTTCAAGAGCACTTGACTTTCGTCTTCTAAACTACTCATTTTGTTTTCTAATATGTCCTCTTATTCTTCAGATTAATTGTGATGCTGACCCGTACAGTGAATCCATGCCTCTGGATCCCTCCTTCTTCATCCTAGTCATTTGTGCCAATTCAAACTTTTGTCCTTCAAGCCTACAGTGCTCCATCAAACGTCAGCAAAATTCATCACAAACGGATTCTTGTCTTTAAGAACATGCGGGACTTTATTTATTCAATATTCTGGGAATATGAATGTTAACATACTGGTGTTCTTTTTTGTGTTTTTTTTTACTACATATTTATCTAAAATACAATTTTTTATATCTGCCGTTGTGTCCGCAAATTGCATTAATTGCACATGATGTAAAGTATTCATTTAAATAGAAACATATGAATTGTTTCAATTACTTGTTTTCAATAGTGGAGCAATTACCCCCAGCAATGCAAATATAATCTGCCCGTTATGAAGTACACTGTCCCCAGTGAATGATTTATTAATCCTGATGAAAGAATGTGTTCAAATTAATTGACTATAACTGTGAGTCAGATACATTATATGAAAATGTGAAGGGTCAAATACTCTATTTTGTGTCTTTGGGCCTTATATGAATAAAATGTTGAACTGCCAATAACTTTGTGTTTATTTGTGAAAGATCACAATAATTAGTGCCAGATTACTCAAATCAGTACTAATACTTTAAAGCATTTGTTAAAATTATTATTACTATACTGGTTCCCAGTCAACCAGGTATTTGTACTTTCATAAATGCTGAAAGTAAATTTATCTAATGTATCTCCTACTGATCAGTAACTCACATACTGTTGTTGTAAATGTGATTTAACTGCATCAGATTTTAGCTTAGATTTGCACGGCAACACAACTGTTTTTTAATTTTACGCAAAGTGTTACTAGGTTACCATTTGAAGAACTTGTTCTAATAAAAGTAGCTGGAAAGGTTTCCATACATCGTATTTCTTATCAAATGATAAAAAAACACTTAAAACAAATGAACAAAAAATGAGGAGAAAAGCTGCAGCTAAAAAAGGTGGAGGCGCAGTTGGAACTGCTAAAGTCGGCTTTACTTTGAGAGAAAGAACATCTTTGAAATCTGTCAAACTGACTCCAGTTGGTAAGGGCCTGGGAAAAGCAGGAGCCAAGCGTTTGGGCCGGATGCTGAAACGGGCTATCCAGCACCAAGAGGGGCCGAGCAGGAAAAAGAAAGATTCTGTACCAAGTGAGTATCACTCAGTTAGCCTAAGCTAGGCTAGCACTGTTAGCTACAAGCTAACAATGCTAGCTTAGCATTAGTCTATCAGGTTACCATGGTTACTCCAACGTGAGATAAATTTGACAGAAGTTTATTTATTGTTCTGCAACCAGTATTAAATTGTTATAAAAGTAAGATTTGTACAAATTCTTACGCTTGGGATACATAAAAACATGGACTTGATTGTATTTTGCTTTTGTAATTTTATTTTTAATTTGTCTCACTGTTTTTAAGTTTGTTTTTTCCAAACATGATGCCAGTAAAGTTTAATAAAATACATTTGTAAAGAGAATAATTGGAAGATTTTAATGTTTTTTTTAGTTGGTTTATGATTACAAAATTATACTTGCGATGTAAAATTGAAATTGTTTATTTTTAATCATTTAAAATCACTATGTTAAAGGTGAAGTTATGTATCAATAACAGAAACACAGCTTCCATTGCAAATGTATTAAAAGGCCCATGTTGGGCTGTTGTTGTTTGAATCAACTCGTTTTACTTTTTAAATAGTTTATTAACCTCCAATATTCACCACAAAGAAAAAGCCAAGCTATAAGGACACAATCTCAGCGTTCTTAGTGGTAGCAATGAGACTGCCCGTGTGGTGGTTTTAATTAGGCTTTTGTTTTTACACACATCAACTGCATCTGGTTTCAGTTAAGTCCAGTACTGAAATTAAATGAACGTGGCTGTTTGGACTGGACGTGTTCTGCAGAGACACATTTAGCTTCCACACAAATCTGACAGACATCAAACTGGATGGCATTATCTGCCCTCATTTATCATGGGTGTGTGCTCATTCCAACTCCTCGAGTTCATACTGCAGGTTCATGCCAGCATACCATGACACAATGTTAGAACACCATCATTCACAGTTTACAAAGAATTTATATCTTGAGGAAATCCACAATTGTATCTGCAGCATCGTATACAAATTAACATTTTTTTTACTGATATGTGGTAGAATTGACTTTACTTTTTTGTGAGAAGCATAAAGGAAATGCATGTGGTAAGCACAATTCTCCACTCTTTCAGACACTCCCATTCGTCTTCTCAAGCATCAGATTGAAGCAAAGGCTAAAAATGCACCCAGGACAAACTCCTCTAAGCTGACCTCGCAACAAGTCGCCAAGCTCATCCTCAGCTTAGTGTCGCAGTGCAAACACAGAGCTGGAATCTCCATGGCAGAGGTCAAGCAGATACTGGCTGCTCAGGGATACGATGTCACCAAGAACAATAGGCAGGTCAACATGGTGACCAAACGCATGGTTAACAATAGGACACTTGTAGAAACTAAAAGAAATGCATCGTTCAGACTCAACAAGGTAAAGCACACCAAGATCATTTGATTTGATAACATGTAAATTCAATATTACCTGTAATTTTGTGTTCTTCCTCATGAGTTCAGGCAGACATTGGGCTTAATTCTAAACCTCTCATGTTCTACACAATAGATAACGGAAAGAAGGCAGATAAAGAAGAACACTGTGACAAATAAACCAAAACCAAAGTTGAAGAAGAGCTACCCAGCCAGCAAATCCTCCAAGGCAGCACAGAAGTCACAAAGACGTAACAAACAAACTCCAAAACCAAGAGGCAAATTACAAAAACCAAAAGGCAAGACCAACAAAGCAGCAGTAGTGAAAAAGCAACCAGTCAAGACGCCAAAACCAACAGCCAAATCGCAAAAACAAAGGAGACAAGCAAAAAGATCAGAAACGCCACAACGGAAGAACCTAAGAACCACAAAGAACAGAGGTGCACAAACTCGCAAGCCCCCAAAGAAGGCTAAAACACCTCGGAGACGTCAAGTAAAACGGGACAAACATCCAATTAAGTCAAGACAGTGACTTCCTAAAACAAGCTCAACATTCAAGTCTCGGAACCGTCAAACTGCCAGGAAGAAAAATTATCGCTAGGATTAGTGAGCATGAATAAACTGAAACCTATTTAGCAACTTAAACTTGTTTTATTTTGTTGGTTTATCACCTGTATTGGCAGGACAATGACTCTTATTTTTATTAAATAAGAACATTCTTTGCTGTGTTGTAAAGTCCTCGCAATTTCCTCTTTTATTGCAAGAAGAAAATAAAACTACAAACACTTGTAATTACTTAAGCTAAAACCCAGAATTTGGTGCTGTTAATGACAAAAAAAAAAGACTATATGAACATAAAAAAACAACAACGGATATAAAAACAACCATGGATATAAAAACCACCATAAGTTTCACATGGAGTCCAAATGTTGTCATTCACATACAGTGAATGTAGCATCTTAAAACATTTGGTCGTATTTTCCTTTTGCTCACTAATAAAAAGTCCAAGTATACATCTGATTTCTGTCCTGTAGATATCAGCAGTTTATTATGATTTGAGTGTCTTGTCACATGACACCCCAAACTTCCTCAAAAGCAGAGCTTATTTTGGCACAGGTCAGTGCTGCAGAGAGGGGGTAGTTACTTAGGGACACGGTCTTCTCTGTGTATTCCACATTCACCTGATTAAAAAAAAAAAAAAAAAAAAACATTATTACCATCAATCACATATATTTAACACATGGCGTTATGAAACTGTATCTGTATCCTTTCTCACCGATCCATGTGCAAACGCTCCAATCACTACTGCAGCAGGGCCATCCGTTACCAAAGTCCGGGGACAGACGGGTTCCCCAGCTGCGAATGAGGTGGCGATACGGGGGCAACCGGGCGGCAGGTGGTCCGACACTGGATTTTTAATCAACTTTAACAGCTTTGCAGAACCATCAGCAGCTCTGACGCTCAGCTTGTGCAACAGCTGAACTAAGGTTGACAAAGAAAGGCAACATTTGTCAACAAAAAGGTAAAGAGATTTTGATCACACAGAAAAAACAGAAGAGAGCTTACCCATCAGGCCACAAAAGCGAGCGAAGGTTCTTGGGATGCGAGTCTGTGGGTTGATCTCTATTAAAGCATTTTTTTCTGTGTGGATGTAAACCTGCAGCAGACCTGCCCTGTTCAGTGGACTGTCCATCAGCATGAGCAGGCACTGGAATAAGGTAAATTAAGGCACAAATTCATTACACAGCCATTGTTAAAACATAGTTTTCGTGGTTACTTTTAATATTATTATAAAACACTAAAAACATGCTGATGCTTCTTTGGCTGTATAATGCTGGTACACAAAATCCTACATCATTTGTGACATTAAAGCTTTTCTCATTGTTTAGGTAACGTTTCTGGAAACAAAATACTTTTCTTCACTCTTAATGTGAGGAAGAAAAACCTGATGCTCACACTATTAATTAAACAAGGATTACCTGATGTGTGATATCTGGCCTTACGTTGCCCGGGTCCCTTCCATTTTTGATGATCATACTTTTGTGTTGGTCGCAGTTCAACAACTCGAACGTCTTTCCAACCTGGATGAGTTCAAACAAATCATAGCCTTTAGTTTACATCCTGTATTAGCTGAAGTTACAGATTGCAACGTGTCGATGCTTTTAAACAACATAATTTAGTACCTTTACTGTTTCTAATGAGGCTCCTTCCAGAATAACAACTAGCCTTTTTTCTGTCATTCGGTCGTGAAGGTTGCTTTTGCCAACTTTGACGAATTTTGGTTCATATTCGTCCAAATGTTCAAGACCACGCTTCCTTCCACCGGGAGCCGCCATTGCAGATTGATTCGTCGCAGATTGATTACGTTATGTGAAAATGTGTACGATAAAATTAAAATGACTGATGGTATATATAAACATTTATCAAAAATATTTCTTTATTTAGAAAAATAAAACGTCAAAAAGATTGCCTATTCATTAAAATGCATCATAAAAAAGAAAAAAGATTCAAAACCTTGCTATTACGTCAAATTTGTGCGCCGGATATGCCCCAGCAAACAACGTGTTGAAGTGAGCTGTGTGAAAATTTCATCCGTAATAAGTCAAAAAGTTCAGTCAAAGGATAAAGTTTTGGTCGGTGAGTACATTAAGAATTATTTAAGGACTTCATGTAGCAGCAAAATACGATCTTAGATCTAAAAACTAAGTGTTTTAACTCGTCAACAGAGCGCGAGAGCTGTCGTGATGTACAAATAGCTAGTGCTCGCTCTTACTGACACTCAGATGTGCAAATATTAACGCTTTCTTATTTTTATAATTATTTCGCCAACAATAATAAAATCAAAAGCACTAACTGCTATATATGTTTATAAACCATAACAGTAATAAGATTACCTCAATAGTCACACTACAGTCTTGAACCAAAATATAAATACATTTTGTGAAAATTCAGACCAGAGTTCATCAACGTGGTTGGAAAATCTCAGTACTTTTTATTGTAAAGTGTTTTTAATGTTCATTAAGCTGTTATGAATTGTGTCATTAATCATGTTTTCTCTATTCCCTGATTTTTCAGGTGAATCGAAGTCATGGGTCGAAAGTTGGATCCCACCAACAAGGTGAAGAGAGGGCCGGGTAAGAAAGCCAAAAAGCAGCGTGGAGCAGAGGTTGAGTTGGCCAAATTTATAACAGATGGTAAGAAACTTTTGTTTTGTTTTTTCTCCTCAAAAACATGTTTTCAGATAGGATGTGCATGATTGATGTAGTAAACCTATTTAATTATGTGGCTGTGTCACCGGGACTCCTTTTCATATATTTTTTTCTCTCTTTCTAGAGGAAACGGGACCAAAACGTCTGTCGAGTAGAGGCAGGAAACGGTAACAGCTGGACATTTTTGGTGGCATTAAATACAAAGTAGGCTTTGGAAGTTGTTTGACTTTTGTATATTTTTTTCAGCGCTGCAAAAAGAGTTCAGAATCTGGAAAAGCCTAAAGATGTTGTTGAGAAACAGTCCAAGAAAGGTATCCACATCAGTTCCAGTCAATATGTTCAACTTTGTAATTTTAAATATAACACATGGAAAGATTTAACACAAACTATAGGTGGCCATTTGCGCACACATTGCTGTTGCTCATGGAAAACTAATGCAACAAGTCAAAAGACTCAAGTTCAGGAGTATCCATCCAATCCTGCTCCCAGAGGGCCTCTATCCTGCATGTTTTACATGTTTCCCTGCTCCAACACTCCTGATTTAATGATCGAATCAGCTCTTCATGTTCTGTAGAAGCCTGTTAATCATCCATTAATTCAAATTAAGTGTCTTGGAGCAGAGAAACATCTAAAACATGCAGGATTGTGACCCGTTAGGTCCACGATTGGGTACCCCTGCTCAAGTTTCTTCAGTAATTGTGTGTTGGAGGTTGTGTTAATTTACACAACTATAGTCAACTGTAGTGAATTAACAAAATGTTTATGATTTTTAAGTACTTGAATAAAATCAACTTAACTTTGAGGATGTTCTCTTTTATAAGTTAAGCCCATTTTAGAGTTAAAGAAACCTTTTTTCTTTAGTAAAAAGTTTTTTTTTAAGAATCGAGAAAGACCTATAATTGTTCTTAATTAGGCACCAAACTGAATAAGCCAATGTTGTGACAAAAATATATATATCTTGTTCACTATGAAAATTTTGTTTCTGTAAATGACACATTGGGCAGTTTGTTTTTGATGCGGCGTTTCTTAATGTGCTTGCGACCACTTCAAATCACAATCTAAGACTTGTTAAAAATAATATGGGGATGTCCTATTATTTTTCTAATGTAAAGGATTCACTGATGGAAACAGTAAATGGCTGAAACCAACAAAGAGGAAGCGCAAACTTAATGAGCCTGAAAGTGAAGATGACAGCGAGGAGCACTGGGAAGAAGATGATGATGATGTGGAGGAGGAAGAGAAGCAGCTTGTGCAGAAGGAAGAAAAAATCACAAAAAAGAAGGGTGCAAAAGTGGGATTGAAAATACTGGAAGAGGAAGATGATGACAGTGGTGATGATGATGAATTGATTGATGACTACGGTACGCTTGATGACGGCAGCGACGATGAAGCTGGAGAAGAGGACGGTGATGTACGTGAAATGGTTTCATTCTTAACCTTTTGAGTTTGGATAATTTGAATTCATAAAGCTTGATTTGGACCATTGTACCCAAATTTGTTTGCATTTTGTGAGCTAATAGGTTTAGCTCTTGTTTCTTTAAGGCAGAATGCTCCTTTAGTCCCCTGCTTGGTCAGAAATTGTAGTCAGGTGTTTGTTCTTAATGTGGTTTGTGTTCTGAGGCACAGTGTGTCATGGTGATGTGGACAAGTATTTAAAAGAAAAGCCTGGATTACAAATGTTTTATTTCAGGCAGTTAATGAGTTTCTTGCAGAAACGGCCTTTTAATTTTCCTCCAGTGTAATTATAATGTTAATGCTCATGGCACTACTGCTGATAATAAATGAGTACTTTTACTTTTTGAATTTCATTTTCAGCTTCTTCCCATCGAACGTGCTGCCAAAAAAGAAAAAAAACTGAAGAAATCCATGGCTCTGGGGGAAGACGAATATATCGAGTCTGAGGATGACGATGAGGATGAAGACGAGGATGAAGATGAACAGAAATCAGATGCTGACATGGATGAAGATGAAACGATACAAACCAACACATTGGAGGAGGACACATTCAGACTGCCCACTTCAGAGGAGAGTGAGAAGGAAGGTGAGGCATTCAGATGTTTTTCATTTGTACCAGTAAAGTCTTCCTACACATTACCAGTAAATGTTTGATTTTTCTCAATCTTTCAGGCATCTCGTCTATAGATCTGAAGACGATTCATCAAAGAATAAAGGACAACATCGATGTTCTCTGTAATTTCTCTGCCAAAAGAGAGGAGGGGAAAGACAGAGTGGAGTACCTGGCTCTGCTGAACAAAGACCTCTGTACTTATTACAGCTACAACGAGTTCCTCATCGAGAAATTATTGGACCTCTTCCCTCTTTCAGAGGTATGTTGAGTTTAAATCAACAAAGATGAAATCCTACTTCTACAATGACCATTATAGACTGACAGCCAAGTGTCCTAAAAACATTTCATATTCTTGTTGACAGCTGGTTGATTTCCTTGAAGCTAATGAAATTCAGAGACCCGTCACGATTCGGACCAACACACTGAAAACGAGGAGGCGAGATCTTGCACAGGTGAGTCGATTGAAGGAACTTCCTTTATAAATTGTTTTTCTTCCAGCTGCCCACGTTCTGCGGGGCTCATCACAGTCAGCAAACTCGCACAAAACATTTAATAATTTTACGCTGCAGTGTTTCCCCTACCGTTACACAAGGAGGGCGCCCCGCCCTGTCAACAGAATCGAGCGCTCCACCTACCGAACTGTCCTGTCCTTCACCCACCCGCAATCGACAACTGCCGGCTAGCAGTGCACAATACAGACGCGCTAGCTAAAAGGCTACTAATGTAGCGCTCTGCTTCTCTCACGCATCTCTTCCCCACCTGGATGCCCTTTCAACATTCTTTATTGTCATTCGCATCACGTGGTACATGAGGTGGAACGAAATTGTGTACCCAAGGTCCCAGGTACACCCAAAAATAGCAAATTTATAAAATATATATTAAAAAAAGAAAAGGATTCAAGGATTTTTTTATTGTCATATTGTCAACGAGAGCAGTACGATAATATTAAGACATTTGTTTCCAGGGATAACGAGACGAACCCAGTGATCTGAGTAAATGAGCATTTCCCTGCGCTGCAGTCCTGTACAAATCTTTAGTCTACAACAAAGGGCGGCTGGGGCTGAGTGGTTAGAGCAGTCGTCCTCCAATGCAAGAGTTGGGGGTTCAATTCCATCAGCTTTCACATGCTGAAGTGTCCCTGGGCAAGACATTGAACCCCTCATTGCCTCCGATGTGTGTCCCATTGGTGTATGAATGTGATAAAGCACTGATTATTATTATTATTATATATAGTAGAGTGCTGTATGATTGGGTAATTGAGGGCATTGATTGTGTTGTAGAGTGCTTTGAGTGTCTTGAGTAGATAGAAAGGTGCTATATTTATGTGCAGTCCATTTACCATTTAACAAAGCATCAAATATATAATGGAGGTGATGTTTGTTGTGACCTATGTTGCAGACCTGCGTTTGCTCTTGGGTTCTTAAAAAAACAAACTGTTTATTTTCTGACATTGGAACTGCTTTGGTAGAAAAAAGCCTTGTCATTGACTGTTAACATTATAATTCCACCTCTGACACCCTGATGAAAGTGTTTTGGACCTGGTGCTTCTCTAGTGCTGGTTTTTCGGGGCTTCTGCTGGTCACAAGAGAAAGAACTGGTGTTAAACAATCGCTGACTCTGGTTTAGGACTGCAACCTCGCATTGTAGCGTCACCGATCTGTAATTTTTCATGTTTAGGCTTTGATCAACAGAGGAGTAAATCTTGACCCACTGGGGAAGTGGTCTAAAGTGGGTTTGGTTGTCTATGACTCGTCTGTACCAATCGGTAAGTTTCAGTACGATCACTGAAACATCACTGAAGATTGTCTGGGACTTTAGGTACAAGAAGTTTGAACTGTGGTTTGTGCCTTCTGTCCACCCAGGTGCCACTCCGGAGTATTTGGCTGGTCATTACATGCTGCAGGGAGCCTCCAGCTTTCTGCCGGTCATGGCGCTCTCACCACAGGAGGGAGAAATGGTGCTGGACATGAGCTCAGCTCCAGGAGGGAAGACCACCTATATTGGTAAAGCTTGCTTCAAAACTAGTCTGTATAGCAAATGCATACTTAAAACAAAAGAGTTTGAAGTTGATGTGTGATATTGTCACTCTTAGCTCAGCTGATGAGAAACACCGGAGTGATTATTGCTAATGATGCAAACGCTGAAAGACTGAAGAGCGTGGTGGGAAACATTCACCGTCTTGGGGTCACAAACACCGTGGTCTGCAACTACGACGGCAGGCAGTTCCCAAAGGTCCGCGGCTTTCATGAGCTACATGGAAAAATTGTTTGGTTTAGATTTATTGCAGGTGTTTAGTTTGCTGAGCCTAAACCTTTTACTTGCAGGTAATGGGTGGGTTTGATCGAGTGCTGCTTGACGCACCGTGCTCGGGAACTGGAGTCATTGCTAAAGATCCTGCTGTGAAAACCAGCAAGGTAAAATATCTTTCATACTCTCCGTGGATATCATGCAGACTTTTTAAATTATGCATTAGAATCATTTTTCTATTTTCTTTCTCCTGGCAGGATGAAGCGGATATTAAGCGCTCTGCTCATTTGCAGAAGGAACTGATTCTGTCGGCCATCGACTCTGTGAATGCAGCGTCCCCTACTGGAGGGTATCTAGTCTACTGCACGTGCTCTGTAACGGTATGTGTTGACATGTGAGGCCCTTTAAAAGCAGTGCCAACCAATAGTAGTACTCTTTGCCTACTAAATTACATGAAATATTTTATCTTTTATTCTAAAACATAAGCAAATAGTCAAATTATTAAGCTTTGAAAGATTTAAAATCAAAAAGAAGAAGGAAAAAAAATTAAATCGGGTCGTTGCAAACTACAGTAGTCCCTTGTTTATCGCTGGGGTTACATATTTATATATATTTTTTAAGGCTTTATAAACTCTTCCCACACTCTTGCAGTGTTCTAAACTCTTAAACCTACGTCATTTTAACAACATACGTATATGTGGGGGAGTGGTGACGCAGAGGTTAGAGAGGTGGGCTTGTGATCCGAAGATCGCCGGTTCACGCCCCAGCCCCGACAACATCAAAATTGTGGGTGGGGTAGGTGAAACACCCACACTTGCCCCCACCCTCATTCGCCCCACTCTGGGCCCATGAGCAAGGCCCTTAACCCCCACCATGTGCTCCCTAAACAGGTCTCTCTTGAAAATGAGTTCTCGTGGCTCAATGAGACTAACCTGGATAAATAAAGGCTAAATGGAAAAAAAAAAAGTACTGTACAGTACTGAAAATTTTTAAGAAACAGCGGCTCGGTTCCAGTCCTGCAGACCTACCCTGCCAGTTTTGGTCCGGTTCTAGTCGGCTCTCTGCAGCTCTTGAGCACCAAAACATTTGGAGGGAGCCGGACCTTCGGATGGTCAGCACGAGGTCCGGATCGAGTCCAAATCTGGGTGAAAAAAGTCCCGGTGGGCTCCGGAGAGAACGCCAGACCTCCGGGTGGTACCTCCCCACTCGGAAGGCTTCGTGGGCCGGCGGGCAGCACTCTGATCCACCGATGAGTCTGGAGGTCCAGTTCTGGTCCGGTTCCATGCGGCTCTCTGTATCCACTGGGCACCTAAGTCATTGTATGAATAAGGACCAAACTTTTTCAGATCGGAACAAAACTTTCCCTCCATTTCAGCAGAAGGCAACAGGGCTTCTGGGTGGGACACTGTTGACTTCTGGGAAATGTAGTCGTTTTGATTGACGATACAGTGTAGGCTTATTGAGAGAAAACTACAAAATAGCGTGCCTGTCCCAAAGTTTTTTTTTTTTTTTTTTTGTGTGTTAACTTTACTGTCTCAGTCACATGAGTAATATTAAAGTTAACAATCGTGTCCTTTTTTATTTTTATTTTATTTAGTTATTTTTTGTGTATATTCCTACATTGAAAAACCGTGAAAGAGCGAGTCCGCGAGCGAGGGACTGCTGTACTGCCATGCAGTTAGGACGGGTGTGATTCAGCCCAATACTGTTCCATGCAACACCAACAAAAAGAAAGAAACATAATAAAATCAATTTCAGGAAATTGAACAGCTTTTGGTTTCAGGTATAATTCGGTCGTTAGGAAAAGTATTTATGCAGAAACCCATAAGTTGGTCAGTGACAAACGCAGTTGTTTCCTTTTGGAGGAGGAGTGGTCCAAAACAATATTTATTGTGTTATGTAGCCAGGTGTGTCTGAACATTAAACAGTTTTGACCACAGGTAGAGCAGCAACGTTTCAGTGATTAGCAACGTTACATGACTGTTACATTATATATCAAAATGCAAGTTTCACTTTATAGACTTGAAATGAGTCCGTGAGAGACATGTCTGTAATTTCTACTCATCTGTGGACGTTAATTTTACTAATCTGTGGCTGAAATGCAGCGTCAGATAATAATGACTTTTAAGACCAGTGGAGTGCTGATGAGTCCACAGAAGAACAGACTGGAAATTATATTTAAATTGGATGTTCGTTGGGTTTACTAAACTTTTTTTAACAAAACTGAACTAGTTTAATTTGGAAGGAGGTTATTTTTCCCGATTTTCTTCTCCTCTAACCAGATTTATCTTCCAGGTGGAGGAGAATGAGTGGGTGGTGGATTACGCTTTGAAGAAGAGGAATGTCAAATTGGTTCCTACAGGACTCGACTTTGGGAAGGAAGGCTTCACCAGGTAGATAAACTAATGGCTGCGTTATTGATAATTGTTGGAGTAACTGATGAATACTGGTCAGTAAAACCTTTCTTTTATCTTTTAAGTTTTCAAAAATTTAGATTCCATCCTTCTTTGCAACTCACACGGAGATTTTACCCACATTCACACAATATGGATGGATTCTTTGTGGCCAAGTTTAAAAAGTTCTCCAATGTAATTACACCTCCTGCTGCTGATGGGACAAGTAAGATATTTTTTTTCTTACCAATAAAGTCAGCTTGTGTTTTGATATTTATGATGAGCTAACCCTCTGCTTACCTCCGTAGAAGAAGAGAAAGCAGAAGCTCCTGAGGCTACAGAAGCTACAGACTCTTCGAAGGTGAAAGCGTCCAAAAGTGACAAGGCTAACAAGGCCAAAGCAAACGGAACAGCTGTTAAGAAATCTGCAAACATCAAGTCGGCGGGACAAAAAAACTTTGGACCGAAGAAGGCAAAGATTGCCAAGATGGATGCCGAGACGGAGAAAGGAGCAGAGGCCAAAAAGGCTGTAGCGAAGACGCCCAATCAGCCCAAAGCATCAAAAACTGGCAAAGAAGACGGAAAATTTGAGAAAAACCGAGGCAAAAAGATGAAGATGCACATGAAGGGGAAGAACAGAATGGGAAACAATAAATTCAAGAAGTTTAAACAAAAGTGGCAAAAGCAAAATAAAAAGTGATGCATGGACGGTGTGAAAATATTATAATAAGATCACAAACGAACTGGAGTTTTCTTATACAAACCCTACAACTTCATGCATTTGTGTGTCTGCTCTATCACTTCAGAGCAGTATGTGTTAAATATGTTGGTAACATGGCTACGGTCTAATGGATTTACACGTTCACCGCTTTTTATTTTATAATCAGTTCATTTTATTAATTGATTCGTTGCTCAAAATACAGCTATGACGGAAATAATAAAGCTTTTAAAAGTAGTTTTTTTTTTTTTTTTTTACTGAATTCACTTATCTGTAAGATTTATGTTCAGTTGTGCAACACGGTGCTCAGTTGGTAGAGCTGTTGCCTCTCAGTGAGAAGGTTGCCAGTTCAAATCCCAGCCGGGGGACTTTCTGGATGGAGTTTGCATGTTCTCTCTGTGCATGCGTGGGCTTTCTTCGGGTACGCAAGTTTCCTTCCACAGACCAAAAACATGCATGTTAGGCTGATTGGTAAATTGTCCATAGGTTTGAGTGAGAGAGTGAATGGTTGTCTCTGTCCCTGTGAAGGACTGGAGACTTGTCCAGGGTGTCCCCTGCATCTCGCATAGTGATAGCTGGACATGGGCACCAGTGATCCCCGCGACCTGTAAAGGAAGAAGCGGGCAAAGAGATTTAGGTTCACTTCAATCTCAAACAGGTAAAGTGTCAACTAATGATATTTTCAGCCAAGTGCACATTTCAAAGTAAAACATTAAATCACTACAGTTATACAAAAACTGTTCAGTGTATTAAAATGTTATTTTGACTCGTTTTAAAGAGTAAAAGACTGATGGTAGATTTATTTATTCATTTAGTTTTACATTTATGACAAGTTAAATACTTGAGTGTTGTGTTTAAATAATGAGCCGGACTTTGTGCTGGAAACCAATCAGTTTTCTATTAACCAATCAGATCGCTTCATTTCCGAACGGAAGCTGCGTTGTTTACATTTTCCAAGATGGCGGCGGGGATGTATTTGGAGCATTATTTGGACAGTAAGTTTTTTATCATTCTATAAACGTGTGCAAAACACGCTCAGTCCTGTTTAGTTGTTTAGTCTTAGCCTCTCCCTGTTCGGCTGTGCGTTTATTTCTCTTTCATGATGAAGGGAATGTGTCTAACCCTCCTCTTAACGGCCGGCGGATTTAGGCTCCGTCTATTTGCTGGAGGAAACCGAAGCTAAAACCGGATGCTGCTTGGGATCCCAAACCTCACGCGTTGTTTGTTATACTCATGTCAAACAAACAGAAATCGTTTAAAACATGAGATGCGTTTTGTTTTCTGACACCTGTTGAAAACGTTTGTAAGCCTTTTCTAGACTGAGTCGGCCACCACGCAAGTCGCGTGAACATTTGTTATTGTTTATTGTTGTTCTCACTGGTTGTCTGTCTTCATCACGCCAGGCATAGAAAACCTGCCCTTCGAGCTGCAGAGGAACTTCAATTTGATGAGGGATCTCGATCAACGTACAGAGGGTGAGACAACAGTGCTGTAAAATATGAATTCATTTTATTCTGATTACCATATCTGACTGTAAAAAGTAGCAAACCTTACATCTGTACACAGAAATCAGTAAATGGACTGTACTTATATAGCGCCTTTCTATCTTATCGAGATACTAAAGCGCTTTACACTAGAGTCTGTGCCCTCGTTTACCCATTCATACAGCACTCTACTAGATCTCTACAAAACTAATTGAACAAATCATTCTAAAGAGACTAATCAGAGCTTTAGCTCATTCAAACACCAATGGGACACACATCAGAGGCTATGAGGGGTTCAGTGTCTTGCCCAGAGACACTTCAACATGTGACTGCTGGTGGATTCGAACCCCCAACTCTTGCATTGGAGGACGACTGCTCTAACCACTCAGCCACAGCCGCCCAGTAGCAGGGACAAAATCAACAAAGGGGCTGACTGATGGAGCATCCATCCATCGTATGCTCCTTGTTCCTCAGTTGGATCGCAGGAGCAGCAGCTTGAGCAGGGAGACCCAGCCATCTTTTTTCCACAGCCACCTCTTCCAGTTCCTCCAGGGAAGACTGTGATCCCAGGCCAACCGACGATAGACTCTCCAGCTTGTCCCGGGTCTTCCCTGTGGTTTCCTCCTAGTTGAACATGTCCTGAAAATCTCCCAAGGAAGGTGTTCAGGGAGCATCCTTGACAAATGCCCGAATCACCTCAACTCGCTCCTCTTGATGTGGAGGAGCAGCGGCTCTACTCTGAGTCTCTCTCTGATAACTGAACTTCTCACTCAGTGTTCGAGGGAAAATCCAGCTACCCTGCAGAGAAGACTCATTTTGACTGCGTGTATCCGTGATGCCACTACAACAAGTATTTATAGAGTACAGTAGTCCCTTGTTTATCTCAGGGGATCCATACCCTGAAGACCCGTGATAAGTGAAAAACTGTGAAGTAGGAATAGTAGTAGTAGGCATTTTAAACCCTTCCTACACTCTTGCAATATTCTAAACAATGTTTCTAAACTAAACACTTTAAAAGAGCACAAAGTCATGATTTCAGTTCCCTGCCTCATTCTTGGCCACGCCCACTTCTCCGCTCTGCAGCTTAACAGCTGATCAGCTGCTTAACTGCAGCAGGAAGTTTATCCTGCAGCAGTAAGGGCTGCACAATGCTGCAGGAGGAAGCTTTTTCTGCTGCTCTGGGCTGCACAAATGTGCAGGTGCTAAATAATTTAAAATAATTTATATTAAATAAACATTTCATGCCAGTCGTGAGGCTCATCCATCAATCAGCCTGTGTCATGTCCAATCTTATTTTGCAAAACTGCGATGAGCTAATCCGCGATAAACGAACCGTGAAGTAGCGAGGGACTACTGTACAGCATTATTAAAATTCAGGATTTTACCTTATTATCAGACTTTCAGGCGCTGTACAGGTCTGTCGTGGTGAAGAGAGAGCCAAGTCAAAAGGCGAAGCTCTCAATTTACCGATCGATCTACGTTCCTACCCTCATCTATGGTCACGAGCTTTGGGTTGTGACCGAAAAAATGAGATCTCTGATACAAGCGGCCGAAATTAGTTTTCTCCGCAGGGTGTCTGGGCTCTCCCTTAGAGACAGGGTGAGAAGCTCGATCATCCGGGAGGGACTCGGAGTAGAGCCGTTGCTTCTCCACGTCGAGAGGAGCCAGTTGAGGTGGCTTGGGCATCTGTTAAGGATGCCTCCTGGACGCCTCCCTGGTGAGGTGTTCCGGACACGTCCCACCGGGAGGAGACCCAGAGGAAGACCCAGGACACGCTGGAGGGACTATGTTTCTCGGCTGGCCTGGGAACGCCTCGGGATTCCCCCGGAAGAGCTGGCCCAAGTGGCTGGGGAGAGGGAAGTCTGGGCCTTCCTACTTAGGCTGCTACCCCGCGACCCGACCCTGGATAAGCGGAAGAAAATGGATGGATGGATCAGACTTTCATGTTGTAAAACCAGTTTAATATTTAAACATGTAATCTTTGTGAGCAGTTTCCAATTTAGCAGTTGACGCTTTTTTTTAATTATTTTTGTGTTTTACTTCCTATTAAATATTTTGCTTATTTTGACGGTTGAAGGAGTTTGCTTGTTCTCTCTGTGCATGCGTGGGTTTCTCCGGGTTCTCTGGTTTCCTCCCACAGACCAAAAAATGCACGTTAGTCTGATTGGGAACTCTAAATTGTCCCTGAGTGAGAGAGTGAACGAATGATTGTTTGTCTCATTTGTCTCTATGTGTCCCTGTGATGGACTGGAAACCTGTCCAGGGTGTCCCCCACCTTTCACACAGTGACTGGATATGGGCACCAGTGACCCCCGTGACAAGCGGTTAAGATGGATGGATGGATGGATGGATGGATGGATAAAACTGAACTCCCCGCTTTATACTGTACTCTCTGCAGTACAGACACAACCTTAATTTTATAAGCCCTAAAATAAAATCTCATATCTTTTAGTAGTCCTAATCAATAATTTATGAACTATATTTTTTATGGATATGCGTTATTTAATTCAGCTTTGAAATATCTTTAGATAAAACTGTTTCAATAAGGTTTGGAGAAACTGAATGCATGAAACACTTTATAAGGAGTTAAGAGTTAAATATATGAATATTTTATAATTGGTAATTGCATGCAGCAATATCTTAATTGTAATAGCTATGCTCCTTTTTTCTCTCTTTGTTTTAAGATTTGAAAGGACAGATCGACTCTCTGGCTAAAGAGTACACATCCAACGCCCGGACACTTTCCTCTGAGCAAAAACTGTCCATCCTGAGGCAGATCCAGCAGTCTTACAGTAAATGCAAGGAGTTTGGAGATGATAAGGTGCAGCTGGCTATGCAGACCTATGAAATGGTTGGTGTCACTTTTTACAAACCTCTCCCGTCTTTTGTAACTGCTAGAGGTTTAGACACGTGATAGCTGCTGAATGAATGTAAGTTAAACCTTAAAATCAGTGCGATGAAGCCGTTTATGGTTCTGCAGGTCGACAAACACATCAGACGTCTTGACACGGACCTGGCTCGGTTCGAGGCTGACCTGAAGGAAAAGCAGATAGAAAGCACCGACTATGATTCCACCTCAAGCAAAGGAAAGAAAGGTGTGATGTACTCCATCTCTGTGTTGTGTTGTTCGCCAATATAAATCTGTGTTTTGTTGAGTGCTTGAGGGTTTTTGCAATTTCAGGAGATTCCAGACAAAAAGAGAAAAAAGCAGCTAAAACAAGATCTAAAGTGAAGAGCTCAGATGAAGATGGAAGTCCTAAAAGTGCTCAGAAGAAAGTGAAACTCCTTCAACAGTACGTCATGTTTCCTGCAATGATCTTGTGTTTGGTTAGTTTGACTTTTATAATCTGACTCCTTTTGTATTTCTTGTTTTGTTTTTCAGAGGAGAATTCAACAGCCCTTCCTCCAACTTTGGGAACGTACACCCATCTGATGTCCTGGACATGCCTGTGGACCCCAACGAACCCACCTACTGTTTGTGTCATCAGGTGTCTTATGGCGAGATGATCGGCTGTGACAACACGGACGTGAGTTTTCTTTGATGGCTGATGAGAACAGGAGCGTTCACTCCACTTCTTTTTTTTGTAGGGGCAGCAGTTAGGCGGTTTTTTTTTGTTTGTTTGTTTTTGCTCTAAAAGACATAAAAAAATGAGGACTTAAGTCTCAACAGTGGAACGTTGCTGCCTTGGATTTGTTGGAGGTGGGGGCGTCTTTTATGGTGTAAAAACTGATATGAAACACTTTATAATGAACTCTGCAATTTTGGTTTCTAAAGCATTTGCGATCTGTGTCGGCAAAATAAATCGCAATGAGGAATATTTTAAATGAGTCATTTTTAATTTCTCCATCTCATAAGCTTCAAAATGATACATAGCTTGTTAAAATTTGGTGATTTATCACATGGCTGCGCAACAACCAATTAGTTTATGAGAGTTCTAGTTTAAAAGCTTGATTTTTATTTGTCTGGAGTGATGTCATCGGGAGTCCAGTCCTATTTTCATAAAGGGAATTCCCAAGTTTTGCAATGATGCCAATCTTTATATGAAGGGATTTACCAGCACTACGGCAGCCGTCAGAAAAAAAGTGATCTGTTTTAAAGGAAAATACAAATGTTATAAAAAGATTATTTCTGAAGATGTTTCTTTAAAAAAAAAAAACAGATTCATATATAGATTAGAACGATTATTTGCTGTTTTAGTTACTGGGATTGCTAGATTGTAATAATTTTATGCAAATCTCAATTATGGATCAAATTTATAATCTGATTAGTATATAATGTCAACTTTAATTTGGTATGGAGTGGTTTTAGCATAAATTCAGTCAGACACGATCAAGTTTACTCAGACACGTGGTGGAAATAAAGACAATCGACCTTTGTTGACTCGCTCATGTTAAACAAAACAAACCGTTTTAAAGCTTTAAAGAGGATGATTATGATAGAAACACTTTTAAAACCTGCAGTTTTGATGAAGAAACAAATGTTTTGGGTATTCCGTGTTCTTAAAGGAGCTTTGATATGAGCTCAAAGTATGAAAAGAGAAACAAAAAGCGTGAAAAGTCTAAAATGGTGCGAGTTTATTGGAGCTAAAGACACTGTGCTCAGATGCAAAATAAAGTGATGTTAAATACTTTATGTAAAAGTGACTACATAAAAATGCAGTCAAGTTTTTTGCTGAGTGCAATCTATTTTATTTTTTCCACCAAGTACAGCCGGGTGCCAAAAAACATAAATGTTGCCTTTCTGTAAACATGTCACTGTCATTAGATCTGAAAGTAATCTGTTTGGTAATCTTTTACTTATATTTGTACAATTGGGATACTAAGTGTCGTTCATATTCATAAAGATTGATTAGCTGTAGTATAAATGTGAAGTTAGGAAGATTATTATAGTGCATAAAGTGCAAGTACACACTCTTGCACATATTTCTTTAATGCTACTTTCAAATAAGAGCCTAAGGAGTCCACAGTTGTCCGTCTTGTCCAAGTTTTATCAGCAGATTGTTTACAGTACAAGCAGTACGTACTGGGTGTTTTGAAACAGATTATTATAAATATGTGTTTTTAAGAGCACAGTTTCATCCGAGTGCAGCACACTTTAAAGTATTTTGTGTTTTTTCTTTTCAGTGCTCCATCGAGTGGTTCCATTTTGCATGTGTGGGCCTAACGACCAAACCCAGAGGCAAATGGTGAGAAAGTCTCAAAGTGAAGATGCAGCTGTAATGTGCGTCATTGGTGTGTTGTTGTTTTTTATTTAAGTGAGATTTTTTCCTCTCCTCGATATGCAGGTACTGCCCACGTTGCTCTCAGGACAGGAAGAGAAAATAAAACTCCTGGTTGTTCTGGAACAAAACATGGACCCTTTTGATCGAGCATAAGAAGAATATTTCTTCACTAGTTACTAGAATTTTTGTTTCTTGTTTTTCTTTACATTTGGTGCTTTACTCTTTTGTTTACATCCTTGCCTTGGTCTGTCAGTGTGTGACAGAGCCAAGTGGTTACAGACGTGCTTAATAATAATTTAGACTATTTTTAGTTACAATTGGTGCTCTCGTGACTTTTTTTTACTTTACATTGTCCACCTGAATAATAAACACTACATCTGCCCCCGTTGATTTAATAGTTTTTAGATTTCATAATACTGTATTCACACATACAACAGACAAATTGTAAGTATTGTCACTGAAACATGCCTTGGGTTATTTTTATGCCTTTTTGTATTGTTAATTTTCTCATGTTTAGCCTTGAAACAATATCTTTTTTTAAGTATGACAACAGGGCAATTATAAAGAAAAATTCTGTATCACAACAGCATTATTCACCTGTGGTAGTGAGTTCAAGCATTTGTTTAAAATTTGAGTGATACACATGAAAATTTAAATCTTTGTGAAACATTCTCATTTCTGTAGCTGAAAATTGGTACCTGGGTGTAGAAATGATTGTGCTGTCAATCATTTCAATACAGCTACTACCTCAAAAAATTGTTTGGTTTTTGTTGTCCATTGTAAAACGCATAGTAAATCTGCCGTGAATGGTGCAGACATTTTTCTGTAGTATTTATGGTTGTTCAGCAGGTGGCAGTAGTGAAACAAACCAAAAAAAAAGCCGTGTTGCCAGGTATGCAATAATTTTTTTTCATTCATTTAACCTTTATTTAGACAGGTAAATCCCATTGAGCCTCGAAGACTCATTTACAAGAGAGACCAATGTCGACAAATAAGCGCTATCTCCATGGTTTTCTCTGCTAAAGTGAATGCACCAAGGTCACATTGCTCCGCCAGTATGGTACAGCTACTTCCGGTGTCTGAGGAAGTTGCGCACATAATCATTTCTACAGTAGAGCCACCATAAGTAAAGTATACGATAGTTTGTTTTTGTTTTTTTGTTGGTGCTTTATAATTCGCTTTGGCAAGAGGGAAAAGCAGAAAGAAGAAGGATATTGTTAGTTTGGGAAGACCACACGATGATTTTAAAGTGAAAAAGACAGTACGCTGTTTCGTCATTGCATGTTTGGCAACCCTGAAATGTAACCACGCGTAGTCATGCGTCACCTTGGCGCGATGTCCGAACAAAATTTGAAAACCTGCTTTGCAGACCGTTTGGAGAGACGGTTAGGAACACGGTACCTTTTTAGTTGACAAAGATTTCACCCGTGCATATCGGGGCTGCAGCTTTTACAGGTAAGTGTGTTTAAACAATGTGAAAACCGACGTTTCTGTTATTCTGTTATTTCCGGTGAACAACGGAGTGAAACGGCTGACAAGTTAGCTATAGTTTTGTTAGCTTTGCTAGTTAGCATGCTAGCTACTAGCATTAGCGGCTCGAGTCACGTCTTACGCTGGTTTATAAAGACTTCAGTTTTTTACACTTCAGTTTCGAATTATATTGACTAAAGTGAGGATGTACATTAGTTTTTTTGTTACTCTGTTAATATATATAAAGCCAGACATTATGGGACCATTGTTATAGTATGTGCATATTTTAAGCTAAATGTCTTGCTAGTTTTAGGAGTAAACTTGTTTTTTATTAGTTGCGCAGAAATGTCGTGGGACTTCTTTGTCCCCTTGTCCGTGGGGGACCTTGTAAAGACTGGGGGGATCAACCAGTACGTGGTTCAAGATGTGGTTTCCCCAAAACAGCTGCCGTCTCAGCTCAGTAGTAAGTATTGCGACCGTACATGGGGAGCATCCTGTGCGATTTTTATTTTGTTTTTTTACTGAATACTCTCTTCCATAGGATTCAAGGCTGCACTGAGAAGCCAGGGACCTCTGTGTATATTGGAACATTTCGACACAGGCTACAGCGTGTTGCAGTAAGTTTTCTCAATGAAGAACTTGTTTTTGTTGGTGACAATAATTGTAAAACGCTGGTGTTCTTATTTTAGGAACTTCAATTCGTTGGAGTTGAGGGTTAAAGAGGACACCCTTGAATTACTTGTACAAGGTTAGACTTGTTTTGTACAGTAATATACAAAAAATATATATATTTTTTTAATATACTTTGCTTCCTCTCCAGCTGTTGGACTGTTTTCTAATCTTTTAAAGTGGTTTTGTTCTAGATTTGACTAGACTTTTTGAAGGTCTTTTAAAGTGTTTTATTTTATTTTATTGGTGTTGAGCTGCTTTTCACTCCGCTTTCTGACCAAGCACCTGACCTTGATAGTATATTGTTCAGTGTGGGCCTAAAATAATGGGAGACGTGAACAAAGGGAAGACTAAATTGGAGGTGTAAAGGCTAAAAGCAGATGAAAAGCTTCTAAAGAAAACAAAACCTGAAAGGATCTGAGAGATGCACGGCAGTGCAGTTGGTAGAGCTGCCGCCTCTCAGCGAGAAGGTTGCCGGATTGAATCCTGGCTTGGGGCCTTTCTGGGTGGAGTTTGTATGTTCTCTCAGTAGTTTTCGTCTGGTACTCCAGTTTCTTCCCACAGACCAAAAACATGCATGTCAATAAACATGTCCGTTTTCACCAATTCAGAATAAAAGGACGAGATGGCCCCTGGTTTACACCTGAGTTAGATGACCTGCAATGGAGAGATCAGCTTTGAGCAACAGCTAGACATTCTAATTCAGACACTGATTGGTTGCATTTTCGACAGCTGCGGAATCAATGTACAGCTTCCATCAAAGCAACAAAACGTAAATACCTCTTATCTCAGACCTCCAAAGATCTAAATGACCCTAAAAGATTCTGGAAAACCATCAAATCACTTTTCAGCCGCTCTCATTCATCTGATCTGCCATTACAACGTCTTGTTAACTCTGCTCCTGTGTCAAATAAGCACTATATCCTAAATTGTTTCAACAGATATTTTGTTGCTTCCAATTTCTTGTTTGTCAGTTACTAATGGAAAACCAGCAACTTCTCTTTTAAACCAAACATCTACAAATCAAATATTTCCTACAAGTCAATCTTCAGTAAATCACACCTTTTCATTTTCACTGTTTTCTGTTAGTAAAGTTAAAACAAATTGTTAAAAGGTCTAGACTCTAAAAACTGCATGCCCTGATGACCTTCCACCTTATTTCTTAAGTCTAGCCACACACCTTATTGCAGAACCGGTGTCTCACACCTTTAATCTGTCCATAAGCCAAAACACCATTCCAAATGCTTGGAAAACAGCTTTTGAACTACCTTTGCTGAAGGGAGGTGACCCCACTATACTGTACAGCTATCGACCAATCTCTAAACTCTGTATTCTTGCTGAGGTTTTAGAAAAATTGATAAAGCCAAGAAGTATTTGAATTCTTTTAACATCTTACCTCCCCATCAATCTAGTTTCAGGAAACAACACAGTACAATGACTGCTTCGCAGAAGATCTTTATTGATGCTGATAAAGCATTAGATGCTAAGGATTATTGTTTTGCACTTTTCTTAGACCTGTCTAAAGCTTTTGACACTGGACCATGACATCTTGTGTCATAAGCTCTCAGAAATTAGTTTCTCAGATCACACTATTGGTTGGTTCTCTAACTAGCTCTCAGATCGGAGGCAGTATGTTCAACATAATGGCACTTCTTTCAGCTATCTAACCGTTAATAACGGTGTAACACACCATTCAGTCTTAGGACACACCCTCTACACAATTTACATAAGTAATGTAGGTCAGATCATCCCTGATGTATCCTTACATTTCTATGCTGACGACACAGTTGTTTACTGTCAAGCTAGAACAGTTGCTAAGGTTTTCCAGCTTTTACAGTCTGATTTTGACATCCAGTCAGATTTGTTCCATCTCAAACTGGTGCTAAATGCTGATAAAACCGAAGGGATGTCGTTTTCAAACAGGAAGTCAGTGCCAGCAGTCCTTCCTTCTATTTTATCTTCGAATGTTGTTCTTATTGAGTTTGTCAGTTCCTATGAATACTTGGGTATTTTGGTCGATGCACATCTCTCTCTTAAGCCTCACGTCGAAAACTTGTTAAAGAAATTGAAAGTAAAACTGGGTTTCTTTTTTAGAAATAGATCTTGTCTAAGTGTAAGATAAAATGTTAAAGAATCCAAATACTAGGAAGTTCCTTGTAGCTGCTACTTTCCTTCCCTTCATTGACTATGGTGACATTATTTGCATGAATGCTTCTGCAAGCACCCTGCAGATGTTGGATGCTGTCTATCACAGTGTGCCAAGATTCACAACAGGCTGTAACTACCGTACCCATCACTGCGCCAACAGGGTGCAGTGATGGGTACGGTCGGCCACCATCATTATTTTCACACAGACAGTCTCACTGGTATATTTTCATTTTTAAATCACTCCTTGGTCTGCTGCCTTCATACATCTACATGTCACTTGGGTCAGTGCAGCTACAGCATGTGCTCTCAAGACATAATTACCTGCAGTGCCTCAGTGCAGACCGAACTTGGCAAAAGGGCCTTCCCTTACTCCGCTCCTGTAACCTAGAACACCTTGCAAAAAGATCTGAAGTTGTCGACTTTGACCACTCTAAGGGATTTTAAACATCTGTTAAGTTCATGGCAAAAACCAACACAGACATGTTCCTGTTTTTTGTATTTGACGTAGTTTTATAATGTAGCTGCTTTCATATAATTTCTTCTATTTACTTTTCATTTGCTTTTAATATGATTGCTTATTTTTGTCTGTACCTCATCTGTGTTCTTTGTTTAAAACGGGTCTCTTGTAAATGAGTCATCGAGGCTCAATGAGACTTTTTTTCGGCTGCTCCCTTCTTCAGGGGTCACCACAGCGAACTAGTCACACAAAGACTTGGACATTTTTTTACGCCAGATGCCCTTCCTGACACAACTACAGACCGCCGAGCTACCACAGCCCTCTGTATGGAGCCATCTAGGTTGCCTGGGGGGCAGATGGTGGGGGTTAAGGGCCTTGCTCAAGGGCCCAGAGTGAAACAAATGAGGGTGGAGGTGGCAGATGCGGGTGCTTCACCTATCTTGCCCACATTTTTGACGTTTTCTGTATCAGGATTTGAACCAGCGATCTTCTGATCACAGGCCCACCTTCTCTAACTTCTGCGCCACCACTACCCTCGAGGCTCAATGAGACTAATCTGTGTAAATAAAGGTTAACTGCTTACTCTAAATTGTCTATAGGTGTGAATGAGAGTGTGAATGGTTATTTGTACCACGTTGCTCTGTGATAGACTGGAGACCTGTCGAGGGTGTCCCCCGCCTCTTGCACAGTGACTGCTGGACATGGGCGCCGGTGACCCGAGAAGAAAGAATCGAGTAAAGCTAATTGATGGATGTTTGCCATATTGTTTTCTTTGGTATTTTACATAAAGAAATGGGAAGAAATCATGTATTTGTGTCGTGTAATCAAGTGTCATCCAATTTAAAGTATTTTTTTAACAAGTTGTTTTTGTGCAGATACAATAGTGGTTCTTCTCTTGAGTTCTAGAGTATTTTTATGTTTGAATGATTCATAGGTCAGAGTTAGGTGGCTCAACCAACGGACATTTCTCTATAAATGGTCAGGTGTACTGGACTGAAAATGAGTAGAACCAAAGCAGCTTAACACTTTCAGAAAGCCTGAAAAAAAAAGGTGCTCAAGACTAAAAGAAAAAAAAAAGATTTCAAGAAAGTGACTGGTTGGTAGCAGACATATATATTTATTTAAAAATGAAAGGATGAGACTACACATTACTGCATTTATATATTTGTTTGAATTGACAGTCTTGATTATGCCGAGGTGGTCGTCTGCTACAATAACTGTATTTGAATTCTTCCAGTGGTTAACGGACTGGCTGTTTCCCTGCCAACACTCCTCAGCTCCACTTCCCTTTCAGCTGCAGAACGTAAAGAAAACCTTAATGCGGTCAAAATGAGCGTCTTCCTGCTTTGCAAACTCACTGAAAGCCTCGAAAGCCTCTCTTGTAGGCAGAATATTGTCACAGCACCTGGAAAGGTACAGTTATCAGTAGCTCAGCTAAAATGTTTTTAATGTTTGCTATATGTTCATTATTTATACATCTAAACACATCCACTGATGAAATTATGGCAAGCTTCATGATCCAGCCAAACCAAGAGACTACGGTTCTTAGTCTGCTGTCAGGTGGGTAATCTTGGTAGTGTGGTGGAGTTTTATTACACTGCTGTAAGGGCTCACCTATAGTGAAACTGTCACCTCCTACAGCCTTTGCCCTTCTAAAAGAAATTGGATGGGATAAATAGGAGATGTCAAACAGTAAGTGTATATGTGTCAGCTGACAAAAGGCTGTAGTCTCTGTCTACTTGGTTTGGTAGGTATGAATAACGTCTTTGGTAATCTGAGGATATCTTTTGAATATGTATGAATTTATGTATTTAATCAGATTTTGGACTTCACGAGTACAATACATTAATTATCATATGTGTTTCAGGGTGGTAAAAAAGGTAAATCAGGGGAAGGACTGCTACAGTGGGATTCTGAGAGAGAGACGGTCCTGCAGGCCCTCATTCAGCTCCTTCAGCTGGATATCCGTTCCCTCTGGAGTCTCTCTCTGGTAGAAGAGGAGTTTATCAGGTACTCTGCTGTCAGAGGAGCTCTTTGTTGGGAAAAAAATGTCTGGATTAATAAGTCTTGTAATTTTTTTAGTGTTTTTCATGAACACTGTCTTTGCAAATGTATCAAATTTAGTTGATACTGAACCTCGGTTAAACTGCTACATATGCTGTTTGCATTGTGGACATTTTTGTGGAGCCCATGTGAAAATCTCTGTTCGTCATTGTTTAGCAAATAGTCAAGCTGTGTGTGGAATTCTGATGAATACAACAGCGCTTGGTATTTAAAGTTGACTTCAAGTTGCTTTCATTTGTACTTGAATGTTTAAAACTGCCTGCGCTTGTTTCCTCTTAGCTGTGTGACCTGTTGCTGCTACAAGCTTTTAGAGAACCCAACGATCAGCCATGTCAAGAGCAAACCATCAAGAGATTGTATAATTCACCTCCTTGGGGTTCTGATCAAGAAGTACAATCACCTCTTGGGTTAGTATTTAAATTAAGGTGCTTTATGAAGGTGTTTTTATTACATAAGCATCTATGGCCTTTAGTGTACTTATGCAATTTTAAAGTATGCTCTCTAAACTCTGACAGGTGCTAGTGTGAAAGTGATTCAATTGCTACAACACTTCGAACAGTTATCATCCGTATTTGCACAAGCTGCATCTGTGTGGAGCACAGAGTATGGTGTCAGATCCATTATTGGAGAAGTCATAAGGTTGGTGCATAATTTATATTTTAAGAAGCAAATCTACAATTGGCTTTAGATGATGTGTTTTTCATCGTAGATGTCTTTATTAAAAGTATCCCCCCTTCCCCCCCCCCCCCCCCCCACACACACACACACTTACACTTTTTCTTCAGAGAAATCGGTCAGAAGTCAAGTGAAGAACTTGCCAGAGAGGGGTCAGGTGTGAAAGCCTTTGCCTTGTTCCTCTCAGAACTTGGTACTCTGGTGCCTGAATTAATAATCCCCAACATCAGTGTCCTCATTTCACACCTGGAAGGAGAGGTATGTATTCTGAATTCTTTATTCAATTCAATTTCAATTCAGTTTGTTTTTATAGCACCAAGTCACAGCAGAAGTCATCTCGGGGCACTGAACAGAAACATTGATATGCATATACAGTAAAGTCAGTCAATCACATTATTTATTTATCTGGAGCCAACAGATTGCTTTGAGTTTTCACTTCCATCACAGTCTCCCATCCTAAGCTAGTGCAGAGACAACAGTGGAAAGGGAAAAACTCCCTCATGAGGAAGAAACCTCCAGCAGAACCAGGCTCAGGACAAGCAGCCATCTGCATCGACCGGCTGGGTTTGAGAGGAACAGGAAGGAGAAAACAAACAAAATAACAGGTCCAGGACAGAGGCAATCAGGTTATTCTCCGAGGAAAGACAAAAAGAAAGAAATCACGTTAAGAAAGAATAATTACAAATACAAACTATTCATTTGATGAATGAGGCCAGTAGTCTAAGGCTATAGCAGCGTAGGATGGGTCAAAACCAAGCTGATTAACTAGGATTTATCAAAAATAAAGTCTTAGGCCCAGTCTTAAAACTGAACCATGTGTCAGCCTCACGGACAGAAACTGGAAGTTGGTTCCACAAGAGAGGAGCCTGATAACTGAAAGACCGTCCTCCCATTCTGCTCTTGGAAACTCTAGGAACCGCAAGTAAACCTGCAGTCTGAGAGTCAAGTGTTCTGTTTGGAAAATATGGAACAACAATGTCTGTAATATAACATGGAGCTAGGTTGTTGAGAGCTTTGTGGGTTAAAAGTAAGATTTTGATTCTATTCTGAATTTAAGAGGGAGCCAATGGAAAGAAGCTAAAACTGGAGAGATATGATTTATTTTAATTCCCATTAAGACTGGCAGCAGCATTTTGGATTAACTGAAGACTTTTTAAAGAAGTATTTGGACACCCAGTTAATAAACCATTGCAATAGTCCAGTCTAGACATGACAAATGCATGAACCAGTTTTTCTGCATCATTTTTAGATGTTTCTAATTTTAGCGATATTACGCAGGTGGAAGAAGGTGGTTCTAGTAATGTTTTTAATGTGGGGGATACAAGACATGTCCTGATCAAAAATAACATCAAGATTTTTAACATTAGAGCTGGAGGACAGATTAATGCCATCCAAGGAGGACGAAAGACTGAAAAATTTATTCCTAAGATGCTTGGGTCCAAAAACCAAGACCTCAGTCTTGTCCGAGTTTAAAAGCGGAAAATTTAGGGTCATCCACGTTTTTATGTCTTTAAGACATGTTTGTAGTATAAGTAGCTGTTTGGATTCATTGGGTTTCAGGGACAAATATAACTGTATCATCAGCATAACAATGAAAATTTATCACACACTATTTTAATAACTTTACCTAATGGGAACATATGTAGAGTAAAGAGTATTCGTCCAAGCACCGAACCCTGAGGAACTCCGTGATTCACATATGTGATATAAAAGGATTATGGTTATGCAATGTAATCTTAAAGATCTTGTGTACACAAACAGGATAAAATGAGCAATTTGTGGCGTCAGTAAGGGAACTTAAAGAGACACTTCAAATACTTGTATTTTTTGCTTTTGTTGGCTTTTTAAAATGACTTTCCATGCACAGTCTGGGAGAGTTCGTTTGTCTTTGGTGTTTACTTTGTTTTGCCCAGTGATGAGACCAAGGCGAATACGAGCTCACTGAAGGAGAGTTGGGTTCTTGTTGCTTTGACTGGCAGGTAATCTTGGCAGTGCAGAGGAGGATTTCTGCTCTGCTGTAAGGGCCTGCCGACAGTGAATTGGCTCAACCTGAATTATTCCTCTACAGTTATAGAGGTGTAATTGCTTGGGTTGATGCTGACAGTGTGTGTGTCTGTTTGTGTGCATGTGTGTAAAAAGCAAGAAGTTCACCCAGCTCTCGTTACTGTTCAGTGAACCATGAGTGTCCTCTTTGGTAATCTGAGGGCAGAGTTCTTTTATATTTTACTGTTTTACCCTTTTTTATTTCCTTAGAAATCAAATTACAGTTTTACATAAGAAAGTCAAGATTGTATATAAAATGTTGCTAAACTTTGTTTTCCAGAGCCACACAATGCGTGTAGCAATCTGTGAGGTGCTGGGAGACATCCTCGTGCGCGTCCTGTGCGGCGATGGGTTAGATGAGTCTGGCAAAGCTGACCGCGACCGCTTCTTTGACATCTTGCAGGAACATCTGCACGACACGCACTCTCACGTCAGAGCACGTGTGCTGCAGGTCTACACACGTATCGTCAATAGCAAAGTGTGTTTTTTTTTTGTTTTTTTTGTATGATGCTTAGTGTATTTTTTAAATTGCATTGGTAATTAATAAATACAATTTCTGCTTTCAGGCGTTGCCCTTGTGTAGGTACAGTGAAGTGATGGAGCTCGGTGTCGGACGACTGATGGACAAATCTATCAACGCGGTGAAAAGTGCCATCCAGCTGCTGGCAGCCTTCATCGCACACAATCCATACAGCTGCAAGGTAAGTCAAAGAAACGCAGTTTCACCTGTGAGTAGTAGACATTTCTAAATATGTTTAATTGTCAACATTTTTGTTCTCGTGTTGTTTTGTAGCTGAGCAGCGCAGATCTGAAGAAACCTTTAGAGAAAGAGACTGCTAAGCTCAAAGAAATGAAAGAGAACCTGAAAGGGGAAGCACCTGGTAATGAAGTAATTTTATTCATTGCAACTTTGTTTTGGCTTGTCATGAGGCCAAGGCCGAATGTAGCTCATTAAATCAAGCGGGGGGAGGGGTCTTGTTGCTTTGACTGGCAGGTAATCTTGGCAGTGCAGAGGAGGGCTTTTGCTCTGCTCTAGGGGTCTGCTGATGGTGACTTGGCTTGACTGAAATGATTAATTTAAAGTCACCCTGGTGTAATAGTAAGGAAAGAGCTGTCAGTGTCTGTGTGGGGGGTGGGGGGCTCCTGAGCAATGGGCTTTTTAATAATCCGAGATCCAATTCCAACACTTAAAGTCTGCATCCCAGATGTCACCTAAAAATGTCCCTTAAGATACATGTGAAAATTTGAACCACCTTTTTATTTTCATTTTTCCTGGAAGCTAATTTTGTGTTTGTAAATGCATTTTTTAAAACCTAACCATAAGATGTGAAATATTTAATTAATGCAAAAAAAGAAATCAATAGTTAATATTTTCACCAGATGCACTTTTCTTTTAGGATTACAGAAAATCTTTAATCTGAAATCACCTTTAAAACTATTAGCGGACAAAGAGGCACACATCTGTTCTGCTGCTATTTTAAAATGTTGGTGCATTGTTTGACATTTTCTTTGTAGGTTTGCACGAGTGGCTGTCACCGAATTACAATAAATGTATATATGAATATATATTTTTCTCCCCTTTTTTTTTCTGCAGTCGCGGTGATCAGAGCATCTGAGCTGTGGGCTGCCATGGAGCCTGAGCTCCTTGTTACAGTCAGGACAGCTGTGGAGCCCACAAGTGAAACAGAGAAAGAGCAGCATGAGGAAGAGGAAGACAGGGATGTGGAGGAAGACAAGCCTGCAGAAGACGACAGAGAAACTGCAGTGATGATAGCACAGCTCCTGCGCATCAACAAATACAGGTAATGCTAATCACAAGGGAAGTTAAAAGTCAAACCTTGACATATATATATATATCTTTTTTAATAATTATCTTCTACACTCATATATATATATATATATATATATATATATATATTCATTCTTCATTTTTGCAGGAATGCTGTCAAACTTTGTGTAAGAGCTCATAGTTGCTTCCCAGAATCCAAGATGTTTGCCTCCTTGTCCACACTCACCCCCGAGAATCTGATGGAAACGCTGGCTTTTATTTTTAAAGGTAAAAGTCGTGTTCACTTGCACACTTCTATCAGGAGATGATTGTCAAAATACTGTTTTTAAAGAGAACAAAATTAAAGAGGCCTATGTTATTTATATATTTTTTTCAAATTTTATTTTAAGAAACGTTTTTAGTTTCACATTTCTATAAATCTGTCTTTCTTAAGTAACAGTTGTTAACCCTTCTTGGGCCAACTTTTTGTATTTTTTATATAAATAACTGCATGACTGTATGTGTGAGAATGCAACTAACGCTTTCCAATCCCCATCAGGAGTTGTTGATCCATAAAATAAACAAAAAACAACTGTAGTTGAATTGAAATGTCACACATACATGTTTGTAATACTGAGCTGGCTGTTTTTATTTAATCTAATTTCAACTGTGTACATCAGTTTTAACATCTGAGAGAATCTAGAGATGCAAACCTAATTCATGGAGATCCCATCAGCAACTCAAAATATCCTGTAGTTAACGTTTACCAGCACCTGCAGATGGTCATAATGTTATGGATAATCCATTTATATCATTAGTTTTATTGGATATCATCTTATCGAGGGTTTTATCAATCAAAATGTTAGCAGTTTATTTTTTTTAAAGAAAAATATTAACATAAAAAAAACTACTAGTCTACTTTTTAACAAAGATGCAAGCCTCTAAATTATTTTTGAGTAAAATGCCACTAAACACTGAGCAGCAATTGAAAATGGCATGCATGCAGGGTTTATCTTAACGTGCCAGCTGACATATTTTAATTCTGTTAATAACTAATCCATGGTATTTCCCGCAGGCTCTGGTGAAGAAGCCTCTGAACTCAGCCAAAATTTGCCACCTACCCCAGAGAAAACAGGAGAAAAAGAGGGGGAGGATGGAGAGCTTAAAAAGCAGGAAATGTTGGTGCAGTACTTGAAAGACACAGAAACTTTTGCCTTACAAGTGGAGAGGGCGATTTCTACCATTAACACCATGCTCTACTGGAAAACAGCCTCAGGTAGATGCCACACCCACTAATGTCTGTTTATTACATTTAAAGGAATGCCTTCTTTTTTTTAACAGTACTTGGATAGTTTGTTGTTCTTCACCACAAGTTCTTTTTTTAATTTAGTGGTCCAAGAGGCCGTGCAGTTCTGTGTGACTGTGTGCGAGTTCGGTGTTGCTAACTCCATCAGTGGAGTGAGGAAGATGCTGCCTCTGGTCTGGTCAACTGATACTGCCATTAAAGATGCTGTGGTTCAGGCCTACAGACGTCTTTACTTGAATCCACAAGGAGACGCAATCAGGTCCATTAAACTGCTTCACATGTAGAGACTAAAAACGGAACGATTCATGTTCTTAGAGCTTTGGTATAAAATACACTGTTTATTATGAATTTGCTTTTGTTGTCTTTTGGGGTTGTTGAATGGTTGTAACTGCTAGCATTATGGTTCGGTCATTTATATCTTTCTTAAATCAAGTCAATCCTTTGAGGAAAAATCAAAGTTTGTGACTTTTATTTTATATTTTTTTATTATTAGGATGAAAGCCCAGACTCTTGTTGATAGTCTCTCTGAGCTGATGGTTGATGCATCTCTGGGCACCATCCAGTGTCTTGAGGAAATTGTGAGTAATTATTGCCCTCTTATGACTCATTTAATGTTTTGGATGCTCTACTATAGAAGCACATTTTTTGCATAATGCTGGAAAACATGTCTAAATTACAACATAATGTGCACCTAAAAGGATTTTGCATGGATGTATTTTTAATGTCAACTTTTTGTGCCAGAACATATAGGAAGGCTGTAATTGTGCAAATATATCTCTGTAGGTGCAGGAGTTCTTTGCCAGCGGCAGCAATCTCCAATCCACAGTCATTCAGGTCTTGTGGGAGAGATTTACTGGTAAACGGGAAGCTTCCGTCTTAAACAAGAGAGCTGCGGTGTTACTGCTGGGCATGGCAGCACGGTAAACCACTAAACCCTTTCAGCACCTTCCAATGCAAAACCCTTTTTATGGAGATTTACTTGAAGATGCAACTTATTTGCTTTTGCTGATAAAATATATGGGGGCCGAAAGTGACTTGACTACATTTACAGTGAACATTTAGAGTAGACTGTCCAAAGAGTAAACACGTTTGATGCATTTCTTCTCAGAAAAGGCAGTGTAGAAGTTAGCTTTTGTTGTGAATCATTGTTGAAACATTAAATCTAAAAAGTGTTTTTCCTGAGGCCAGCAGGATTGCAACGTTATGTCTGAAAACCTAAATTAAGTGTCCTTACTTAAATAGTTTTAATTATATGCTAATAAAAATATCAGATTTGGATTGTTGTACAGTAGTCCTTCGCTACTTCGCGGTTCGTTTTTTGCGGACTCGCTCTATCGCGGTTTTTCAAAGTAAGATTGGATGATTGATGGATGAGCCGCATGATCGGCAATTCGGCATGGATGTTTTATTTAAAATAAATTTTATATACGATTTGGCACCCGTGTGCAGCCCACAGCTGCAGGAGAAGCTTCCTCCTACTGCTGATCAGCTGATCTCCACTTTGCAGTGGAGAAGTGGGCGTGGCCTAGAGCGCTGGCAGAGTGCAGCAGGAGGCAGAGAGCTGAAATGATGACATTCTGTGCTCTTAGTGTTTAGAATTCAGAAACATTGTTTAGAATATTGCAAGAGTGTGGGAAGGGTTTAAAACACTTTTTTATATATATATATATATATAAATAATAAGCTACTACTTGTACTACTATTCTTTGTGGGGCTTCTGGGTATGAATCCCCTGAGATAAATGAGGGACTATTGTAATATAAAAATGTTTACATTTCAACTGCTATCTAGCACTGACATAAATTGTATTTATTTGGACACGAGTTTTACTTATTCCTCCTGTATAAACATTAACGGGGTATAATTGTTACTCAGTGGTAGAGAATAATGTTGAGGCTCTGAGATTAATAGTTCTGCATGGAAAAAGTAGAACCAGCGCCATTCCTGCCTTTATGATGACCTTTCTTTTACGTTAGTCCTGTCTCGGCTACTTGACATCCAGCAAATCCTCATTAGCCAAAATACAAGCCCTGGTTCTGCTCCCCTTTATTTTAACTGAAGTCACGACCGTATGCCTGGGCATCTTGCCAGAGCCTTTTTTCAATTTATTTTTAATATCTTTGTAAATGTAAAAATGTGGTTTTCTCCCTCTATCTGCCTCAAAGACTGGTGTTTCTTTGGGGAAGCGTGAGCAAGTGAGACAGTAAAGAGTATCTGCCATCCACCCACACTGCTGCTTCTTCATCCAACATCTACAGGATTCATAACCTATTAAACCTTTTGTGCTGTTTTCTAACCCAGCCTCCTACATGCATTATCTGGGCAGCAACCTCACGCTGACGAGGCCAGCACAGAGTAGTTGGGGTGATGGAGGGCAGGGTTATTGCCTGACTTTGTATAAAGACGTGGTAATGTGGGATTTAAAAATGTACACTTTAGGTTATGTCTATTTTCTGTATGCATTCGTAACAGGGCAGAGAGAGAAGTGGTGCTCGGTAACTTGGACACACTTTGCTCAGTGGCTCTGGGTGAAAAAGTGACTGAAGATTTCCTTCTAGCACGAGACACAGTTCTCACCATCTGCAGCATCACTGATCATGTCAGGGTAAGAGGATGTAAACCAGAATGTACCTCTAAATGTTTCACCATTACTGCCCTGTAACTGATGTTATTGTTCATGGGGTCAGTAGGTCAATGTGGCTAACCATTATTTAAAATAAAATATATATATATATATATATTTTGTTGTTTAAGTGACCTTTTAGTTATTAAATTGTATAATAAATGCCATCTATTTGTTTTAATTTAATTCTTCTGTTTGTTTGTTTTTACCATTTGTTTGTTGTTGGTTTATTAAAAAAGATCTCTTGGTATGTGAATGAGGTGAAATAAACCTGCAGTGATTAAAATAATGTCCAGTTGCAGGCCTTGATGACCTCTAATGTAGAAAATAGTTTGAAATGGTACATTCTGTATCATGTAATGATTTGTGTTGAATGCACTTCGACATAGTGACTCCACAACTGTAGAATATTTAGATTATAATTCAATCTTGGAACTGTCCTAACTAATCGTAAGTTAATAAATGTCTTCATAGTAAAAATGTTTTTCCTTTTGACTAATTCAGTATTTTTATTTATGATTTCTGGTGAAAGATAAGTGTATGGAAAATCAAATATATGAGGGTTTAACAGTGTTCTCATGAAATTTGTTGTTTCCACCAGCAATCCAAAGGAGCTCCGTTCAGATTGCCCCAGGACCACCAGCTCTTCACCTGCCTGACTCAGGCTGTTGCTGAAGGTAAACAGACGGAAATGTGCCTTTTCATTTTTGTATTTTCAGTTTTTCTGTTGTAATTCCACCACTTGCAGCCTCTTCCTCTCATGGTGTCTGTCTTTTTACTGTACTTGCCCCAGGTGTGGTGATGGAAGACCCTTACTGGCAGTGTTTTATGGAACAGGCTGTCCGTCTCATCTACTTCCTGGCTGAATCCCCAGACCAGCTGTGCTCCCGGCTGCTCCAGCGAAGCGCTCGCCTCTTACTAGATCAGATTGTAGAAGGTGGCGAAGTCAATAAGGACGTCAGCCAAACGCAGGATGGATCTCAGGAGACCAATGAACAAAGTGAACAAGGTTGGTCCCGTTGCCTCTGGTGGCCAACGTTGACACATTTCACGGCGCTGTAAACTGTCCCTGGTGTTAATTACATGTGGTTGTGTGTTTTTGTTCTCCCCTGCAGTGAACTGTGTGTGTCTGGCCCAGCTGCTGGCTTTGTGTGGAAGCGTGGCTTTTTGGCAGGTGTCTCACCTTGAGCGCAGTGTGAGCACCGAGCTGCGGAGGAGGAGAGGAGTGACGGCGGAGAAGGAGGAGAAGGAAAAAGGACCTGCCAGTAAATCTAAGGTATAATTGGCTGCTGAACAGGTGTACTAGACTAAATACAGTACAACATTCCTGTGGTATGGACAAGAATTGGCTAAAGCTAATACTTTTCAAGGTTCTTTATTGTCATTCACATCACATGTGGTATATGAGGTGGAACGAAATTGTGTACTCAAGGTCCCAGTTCCACTGAAAAATAGCAAAAATATAAAGTATAAAAAGAAACTATAAGCAAGAATCTAAGACGTATGCCTAACACTAATGTAAAATAATATGGTGTATTAAACAGCAGCCTGAACACGAGTCTGTAGTGAGCAGATGAGTACGAACACAGCAGCTTAATGTAGAAACTGCATTTTCTTACATGTGAAATGATTAATAAGGTTGTTTTTCTCCCAGTAAACAATGAGATTATGTTGGATTAAAACTCATGTAAATATTCTTTTAGTGCAGCTGTATTGTTTGAGTCAAATGTTTTTGTAGAGTTTGCTGGTAAAACATGATGGTTTCACATACTTGGGTGTGTTTTCATCGTGCTGTGGCTCTTATTCAAATAAGTGTCGTTGTTTTCAGGAGTTCATTATTTTGAAGAACTTGCATCCTAGTTCATTTCATGTTGTGGTGTTACTGAAGCCTGATTAGATGTGAACATAAATCTCTAATTTTCAACCTGAACAAGTTTGTACACCTATAGTATATGTCACTGTCATTTAAAGGTATTTATTATTACTTAAAGATTAAACGGGAATCCCTAACGACCTGAAGCTGTAGACAATCAGGTGTCTCAGCAGGATGGTTTGATGATGAGATTAATTGTAGTGGAGTTTAATGAGTAATGGCTCATAATTGTTCATCCCATCAGGAGAAAGGAAGATAAATGTTCCCTCAATTACTGCCGGAGGTTGTTCTTCGCTCATTTATTTTGATTTATTTATTTATCTTTTTTAATTTTGTCTCTTGGAAACTTGAGATACTCAGAGTGATGGAAAAAAAAAATCTAGATTGAACTCAAGCATCTCTGTCGAACCAGTTCTTTTGTTTATTTCCAGTAAAACAAAGAGATTTGGTTTCTGTGTTTAACCCGTGAGCAAATCGTGAACAAATTATGAGCAATTAAGCACATGCTGAATACAATGAGAGCAGTAGACGCCCACAGGAAATCAGTTGGCGAGTTGAGTGTCGTGAGACAGCTGAGGGTTTACTCTTCCAGCCCACATCTTTGGGTAGTTTTTTCTTTTTTTTCTTTCCTGACTGGGAAAGAAATCTGCAACCTTATGGTCACAAACTGGTTATCTGGGCTGTCGGCCATAACTGCCCCTCAAACAATTTTCAATCTATAGCGAGACCACTTGGATTCATTAGAAACTTAGAGCATCAAGCTTTGTAGATACCTTTGGGTTTTATTAGTCTTTTATTTTATTTTTTATTAACAGATAGGAAAGGTGAAAAATGGTCAACATGACAAATGTTTTGGGGCTCTAGTTAGAGTCAAAGTACTGAGTTTTAATACGTGGCGTGATCGATCGACTTCATTCATTCAACCTTTATGTATACAGCTTAATCCCATTGAGTCTCCGGAACTCATTTACAAGAGAGACCGATTTTAACAAAGAGCGACAACAAACTGATTTTAACAAAGGTTTTAACAAAACTGCTAACAGTGGACAACAATAGACAATCATAAAAGAAAGCATACAAATTGAGAATACAAGTGCAAACAAAATGGTATTAAAAAAATGTAACAAAAAAACAGCTAGGTTGTAAGGCGATGTAGAAAACTAAAACCAAGAATACGTCTCATTGGTTTTTGCCAGGAACTTGGCAGATGTTTGGAGCCAGAAGGAATTCTTTTTATGCAGCCAGTTTAACAAGTATAGCCTTTTTTATTGTTTTGTTTGTTTGTTTGTTTGTTTGTTTCCCAGCAGGTGTCCAATGAAAGTGCTATGGAAGAAGAGCTTGGGTTGATCGGTGCCTCTGCCGAAGACACAGAAGCTGAACTCATCAGAAAAATCTGTGAAACAGAATTACTAGCTGGTAAATAAGAACTCAACATTTGTTTGTCCTTTGCCGCTTTAAGTTATAAATGATCATAATCCAATCATATGGTAAATCAAAAACATTATATCTCAATCTGCTCAGAGGAGAACCTGCTGAGTTCTTTCCTTCCAATGCTGGTGAAGGTCTGCAGCTCCCCAGGACGTTATTCCCACCCTCAGCTCACCACTGCTGCATGTCTGGCTCTCTCTCAATACATGATGATAAGGTAAACTCATGCTTTAGCAAAATGTGCTGCTGAAAGGCTGAATCACAAACATCAAAACTAAAGTCCAATAACAAACAAAAATACTAATTATTTTATTGGGGTTTATTTTAAAACTAGTTTATCAGTGACTTTTATTTTATTTAAAAAAATGTATGCGTGAAAAGGTCAGCTGTCTAAATAGTTCATCTTATTTAAAGGGGAAATCTGTAGAGTATATAAGAGCAGTCAATATCTTACCTACAGCAGACAACAGTCAACTTGGACAGTCATCATCATGAGTAAATTTTTATGAAAGAATCGAGCAAAAGACTGATCTTAACATAACCCATATACAGTTGTCCCTCGTTTATCGTGCAGGTTATGATCCACACACACCTGCAATAAGTGGAAAAAAATGCCAAGTAGGAACGTTATATTTATTTTAGTATTTATATATATTTTAAGACTTTAGAAACCCTTCCCACACTCTTGCAAGTTGCAATGTTCTAAGCTCTTAAATGATAATGTCTCATATTCAGGTAGTCAACTGAACTCATTGCAAAAAATCTTTAACCTACTAAACCACTTCCAGATTAGAGTTGCATTCTGGCCCAAAAAATCCAATCCGACCTGGCCCCAGTCCATAGCCATCATTTCTGAACCCCACGTGACCGGACGAATTAACAGTAATTACAGGTCCGAAACCAGAACCCATCCCTCCCCTCCCCAAACATTTTTAATTAAGCTTCAACTTCTTATATAGTTATTTACAGTTGGCGGGCACCCACGACTGAATAAAGGGGGCGGAAGATCAGAGCTGAGGGGGTGTTTGTCCTTTCATGACCGTCAAAGCATTAAATCCCTCTCTGACATGTCTGCTTTGGGATCTTACCTGTTTGGGTCGTCAGTCGCATGCGTCTGCTGAGTGCAGTGGCTGAATAAACATCCATTTGGGCTATGGATCGCTTTCTGGCAGTATAGTCCATCTGAAGCTTAACTTAACTTTATTTTACCTCTTTCAAGGCCGGTCAGCTCGCGGTGAAATGGCCGCTTGTGGTATGGCAGGCCATGTTATCATAAGTGGATCGTGGCCAAAAGCCCCCGGCCCACCCATCCAGCACATTATCATGGCCTGGCCCGACGGGTTAGAAATGGCAGCTCTGTTCCAGATTACATTCATCTTCCAAGATTTATTTCCCCTGATTTATTTAATTTTGAACATGTTGGACAAATTGTAACACAGTTCTATTAGTTTGAGCTATTGTCTGTTTTTATTTAGCTGTGGGAAATTAAATCATTTGATCTTTCGGAAATAGACCAGTATCTTTACACAACTACAGGATTTTCTTCCATCATGATTGCTTAATCATTTTATATCACAAATAATACACATTTGTGATCATTTATTGTTTTGATTTTCTCCACTTTCCAAATCTCAGCCCGTCAGCGTGTGAAGAAAATATCCGTCTCATGTTTACGGTGCTGGAACGATCTACTCTCCCTGTGGTTAGGGCCAATGCCATCATAGCACTGGGAGATCTGACTGTCCGTTTCCCAAATATCTTGGAGCCCTGGACACAGAATCTGTATGCAAGGTAAAGTAATGTCTCATTCACTTCAAATTTCCTAATATTGTACTGTAGCTGGTTTCAGTTTTAACTCATTGTCATTATCCACTACACACATACACAATAATTTTCATGTTGCACATTACCAAATCATTAAGCTGGTTTCATTAGCCTGCACTTGTTGGTTCAGCTGAGTGGGTGTACTGTAAGTGAAATCTCATTGCAGTAAGCATCTACCACCCGCCACCAATCCTTGTAAACACGAGCCATCTTTATCGGAGTCCCACCACCACGTCTCGGTGTGACGTTCCGCTCGACCGCTGAAGTGTTGCCACTGTCAAAATGCTCCACTGAGCCACATGATGGGAAAAGTTTACTTTCTCATCACGACTTCTTAATGGGGAGGGAAACAAACTTTGAGATGATCTATATGTCAGCAAATTCCGATAATGCACCATGTTTTCTGACCTCTGTCGTTGCCATGGGAACTACCAATATCTTCCAGTGTTCAGAAAGAAAAATATAAACCACTACGCGTGAACTTGGGTGGAGCCTCGGACCACATCAGGAACGGGCACTGAAAGACGACAAACTGCTTAATTACTGGTGTTTTACAGATTGTGACGGGAGCCCATGACTTGTGTCTTGTAATTACAGGGAGGCCGAGCGAGCAGAGGGGAGTAATGTTTGAGCAGAGTGAGATTTTTGCAGAGGTTTAAGCTTGTAGCCACTTTTTTTTTTTTTTGTTGTTGTTTTAAAAGCAGGTTGTTACTCAAGTTCCCTGCAGTTGGTCTGTTTGATGAAGTGCAGTTTTAATTATAATGGAAGATAATGTTCACATTGAGGGGTTCTGGACATGTAAAACATTTTCTTTTATAACGCATCACCACCCTCGTAGTGTTTTCTCCACGATAAGCATTTTTTTATGTGTTCCCTAATTGTCTCCCACACACCAACACCTCCACTGTTCTCCAGGCTGCTGCCCTGGTGTCTCCTGATAAGCGCATTAAGAACTAATTACTCTGCTCATTGCTGTTGTAAGCCTTCACATTGGCATGTGGAAGTAGTATGTACAAGTGTGTCATCCTCTGCCAGGAGTCCTGCTCTCTGGCTTAAATGAGAAATGGCTGAGTTTTTTTTGTTTTGTTTGGTACTTTTGAGTGGAAGGTGAATTTAAATTGGCCTCAGATTTCTTCGCCTCAACTTGTCTTGGACCACTTATTCAGACGAAGCTGTAACTTTTGTGTTTCAGTGAAAGTTTTGACTGATATTATCATTTTTAATTAACAACTGGGACAAAACAAAACTGGATGACGTGTCATGTTTAAATGTTGTTCCTGTTTAGTCATAGCATTAATTATCTGCCTATAGAAATGATCTTATCATTTTCTAGGCAGTTCTTCATTTTCAACCATCTAGTAATGTTAACGATTAAATGATCCAAAGGGAGAAAAAATTGTGCTTCAAATATTTTTAAAACAAATTTTTTCCCAAAGAGAAAAATATGTTAAACGCTAGAAAATGACCTGTCAAATGCAAATATAAGGCAATTCTTTTAGTTAGAGCCCTGCTAATACATAGGCAGTGCCGCTAATTTAGAGCGATATATACCATTTGGGGACCTATCGCTAATTTAGGACTATATATACCAACACAGTTCATGCTCAATCATCCAGGTACCAATCCAATAATTCTCAGGTCATCTGGACAGTTTCTTTTTTTATAGAGACATTTCGCCCTCTTTCTGGAGGCATGGATTTGATTTGCTTAACTTCATGGTTACTAACAGCTACCCTAAATAAACAAGCCCTGCTCCACTCACTATTTACTTAGATTCTTGGGGGTGGACAGAGCTCAAAGATTTCCAGCCATTATATCAATTATCTGCGGTCGCCCTCCACTCCCAGTATCGGTATCTGTGATAGCCAAAATTTCCATATCGGCCAGGCTGCACTTTAAATGCCAGGATTACCAGTAAATCTTCTACAATTCTTAAGACGATCAAATTCTTACATTCAGTAAGAAAAAGATTACAGTACTGTTAAATTCAAGAAAAGCAACAATCTTGTTACCTAGTGTTTGATTTGTTTAAAAAATAAAAAGGGCTCGCATCAGTGTCCAAGATACTGAATCATGACTCTAAATTTTAAACTTATTGTGGTTCTGGACAGATTTGCTGATGTTTGTGCATTTTATACTAGTAGCAACATTAACAAACAAAATATTTTAGTTTGAGTGGGTGACCGATTTGAGTTTTTCTTTGGCATTTGCCAATCTTTAGAAACCTGGGCAGCTGCTGGCCGATATTCAACATCAATACGATTATTTTTATTATGGCCAATATGTTTTTTTTATTTAACAGAATATAACGATAATTATTTAACTTAAACAAATGTAGATCGAACAATCCTTAGAGAAACTTGTGACGTGTTACATTGAGCCAAAGATTAAGTCACAAAGTGGTAAGATGAGATGAAGGCAGCCTTCGTGCATGCATTGGTTTAAAAATGAGCAAAACTGCATTTTGTCAAAATATGAATAAATAGCCCATGAGTACCAATAATTCAAAATGATTTTGAGCAGAAAAACCATTTAAAAAAAATATATAAAATTTTAGCTACATTTCCTGTGCTAGCAAAGCAATTTATTTATTTTTTTTTTTCATCTGGGAAATCCAGATATCTCCATGTGGTTTTAAGTTTCTTCTTTCAAATGATGTGAAGAAAATACACAAACAATAGGATTCAGACCAGTTTTCCAGGGTATTTCTGATTAGCGAGACAAATCAAGCCACATCTCTGAAACCGCTCACATCAGGATGATGGTGGTATCAAAATGTAGCTTGAAAAGTCATGAATCTGATTATGTGCTTTGTTCATTTTGATCTAATTTGACTTGTTACTCAGTTTGGTGGGACGGGTCATGCACACACGCATATGAGAATTCTCGCTTTAAAAAATAGAATTAGGGGCTCTACAGTAAGTTGGTTGTAGCAGCTGCTGCTTCATTAATTTTCCTACCCACTACTCATCCATCCATCCATCCATCCATCCATCCATCCATCCATCCATCTTCCATCGTCTGCTGCCTGATCCAGGGGTCACGGAGCAGCAGCTCAACAGAAAAGCTCAGACGTCTTTCAATGGCCACCTTTCCACTTTTTCTTAAATAATATTGATTAGGTGAACAGTCATGACCAACTACTTCTTTTTTTTTTTTTTTTTTTGTCTGTTTCTCATGTTGCTCTAAAATGCTTATTTTGCATAATGTTTTATCAAACAACTTGAGTGGCAGGAGACCCTTTTTACGGGGGGAAGAACACACAGTCATTTTTCATATTTTTTTTTAATATTCCAGGCTGAGTGATGAGGTTCCTTCAGTGAGGATGACTGCTGTGACAGTTCTTACTCAGTTGGTGCTAAAGGATGTGCTCAAGGTCAAAGGTCACGTCAGCGAGGTTGCTGTGCTGCTAATTGACCCAGAGCCGTACATCTCCAGCCTGGCTCTGAACTTCTTCAATGAGCTGGCCACAAAGGTGCCGACATACACACACATTCTGGAGCTGTGGTGGGAAGTGGACCGTTGGACGGGTTTTTAACTCTGCTCCTTGTGTTACCCATCAGGACAACGCCATCTACAACTTGCTGCCAGACATCATCAGTCGACTGTCCGATCCGGAGAGAGGCATGAGCTCGGAGGACTTCAACACCATCATGAAGTGAGTCACCCAGCAGTTTATTAACTCCTGTCTCACTCTCAACAAGCTACGGTTATGCTAACACACAGCAATGAAGGTTTGGGATGGATGTGACTTCAGGTTTGTTGTGGTTTAGAAGTTGTGTTTGTGTTTTCAGACAACTGTTCTCCTACATCACTAAAGAAAGACAGACTGAGTCTCTAGTTGAGAAACTCTGCCAGCGCTTTAGGACTGCAAAGTGAGTTCATCATTCCTCATTTTTTTATATTACCTGCATATTTTGTTTTGCCTCCTTCCCCCCCCCCCCCCCCCCCCAATAATAATTTCACTGCTCCGTCTGAACCTTTCTTGCAGTGTTTCATTGTGTGAGACGCTGGGGGGCAGATGTGCGGGTAATTAGTGGGCGCTTGAGTTTGACAATTAAATCAAGTTCATAGTTCACTTCACCCATCATGCTCCCCGACATCTTCCTATTCACTGCTTTTGTCATGGAAACTGTCTTCTTGAATGGTTTGGGGAAAGTAAATGCAATGACTGGGCTGGCCGGGCTTCAGCCTCTGACTCATACTTCATCCGTACACAAGCTCAAAGGAAGGACATTTTATATTTTATAATGGCAAAGTGAATTTAGACGTAGAACGTTCCTGGAAAATGAGATTTGGTCCAAATGTCAGGGCACTGCCATGTTTATGAGTAATGAGCTTTTGTGTTTAGGCTCTGGAATTCCTGTGCATTTTGTTGTTGCTAATCAGGTTTATTTTCTAATCCCTCTGAACTCGTCTTTACGCTCTCCTCAGGACGGAGCGACAGTGGTGCGACGTGGCCGTGTCCCTGTCTCTGCTTTCAATGTGCGAGCGTGGTTTTAAGAGGCTGCAGGAATGCTGGGAGTGTTACAGTGACAAGCTGACTGAGCCTGGAGTCTACCAGCCCCTGCTGTCCATCACTGCCAAGCTCCGCCGTGGAGCCAAGCTTCAGTTTAAGGTGTCGCAAACTTCCGTTTAATTTCGGATTTGTTGTTTGTTCTCTGGTTCCTGTAAAAGCAGCAGGTAAATCCGTTTTGTGTTTTTGCGATCACTTGTTTCAGGCTCAGGTGGAGGAGTTTGAAAAGCGTCTAACAGCCGTTCACACCCGGGGCTTGGAGAATGTGGAAAGTCCTGAGATGGATGAGGAGAACCAAAACGGAGGCGTGCCCACCGAGAAGACGGCCGCAAAAACTCCTCTGCCCGCCAGAGGTCGTCTGAAATCAAGAAGAGGTCGGGATTCACTGCCGTCATTTTGATGTTTCCTCTTTTGTTAAGGTGATTTTTGTTTATCGTCAAATAATAATATTCTTCTTACCCCACTGCAGGTCAGACTAAGTCCTCAGTTTCCCGCTATGGTGATGACAGCTTTGTCACTCCTCGGAAATCTCGCAAGGCCAAGAAGCCCATGATCACCTTCAGCAGTGATGAAGAGGAGGATGATGAAGGTAAGTCTAAATTCATTCCTTTAAATATATCCAAAAATACCACTTCTGTATCTATTCAAGTTCAAAATGAAAATATTTTCATTGTTTGATCTTTTTTTAAAAAAAAAATCTGTTATAGTTTTTGCTTTTATTGTCAGATATTTGTGAAGAAAGTTCAAATTAAATGGAGACTTGACAAAGACATCCTGTTCACACTGGATGTCAGAAAATGTTTTGTGCCTTTTTTATTTTTTTATTTTTTTATTTAAACACGCAAAGTAATTAATTGTTCTGGATTGTTTCGTCACCTCATTAAACGAGCCTCTGAGTTTGGTTTAGTAGATGACAAAAGAAGTGTTCTTCAATTATTGTCATTTGTTTGCAACGAGTTCCCAGTTCAGCTCAGATCAATACAGCAAAGTTCAGTCTTTAGACCAGTGCACTGAGCCTCTCCAGACGGGTTTCTGACAAGATTTAAGATCTTTCCACCAGAGTAACTCTCGAAAAGTAAGATGTGCGTTGTAGCAGCACTAATCCAAGACCTGCACCATGGATTGGTTAGAAAAAAAAAATCTAATAAACCAAACTTTGATGGGAACTTTCATCAGATTGCAATCTGTATTCAACATTTGAGCATATTTAGATTATATTCCATCCCATGAAAATCTCGTGGCAGCTTCAGGATTATCATTTGGTCTTTTTTTTTTTTCCTATCTGAAAACAAAAAATAACAATTCTTCTGCAGCCAATTAATTTTTAGTTGTGATCATTACCAGTCAACTCGCATGTCGCTGGTGTTTGGAAGAGTTGTTTCCATGATTCCGTGTGAAATGTGTGACAGAGGGCGCTCAACCATGAAAAACCGTCAACAGACTTTAACCTTGATCTGTACTGGGAGAGATGCATTCTGCCCATCTCCCATCTGATCCAACTACTAACTATCTTTAACGTTTTTCTTGTTTTTATTAGACGCTGTTTTGGCAGAAAGTGAGACGCCTAAAGTGACGACACCAATCGCGCGCTCTTCTCGACGAACTCGTCTCAGAAACTGATTGCTTGTTCTGTCTTCTTTGTCTCTCTTTTTTTTATATATATATTTTTTATCAAAGAAATGCTCGATTTTGTACTTTTTAAATCTTTTATTTCTTTTTTATGCATTTTAACTTTTAGTGCCTACCACCAAACCTTTGTAGCGTCTCAGGATGTATCTAATGACGTCATAAACCGTTGAATAAACCTGCTTCTGGTTTTCGTCTTTATTTCTCCGTTTTGCTTCTTCACACTGAAAGAAACTCTTGACACTAACAAATGTGCGAGGGTTGTGCGTCTGCTGGGTTATCTCGTGTAAGTTTCTACAATCACTGCAGGCAGGTTTTGTTTGGACAGTGCTGTTTAAAGGGTCGCCACAGCTTGCTCAGACAGCGTTACTGCCCTGCTTCAGTTCTCCTTTTCTTTTATATCGGAGTTCAGTCTTTACCAGCGGCGCAACACTCTCTCCGCACGTCTCACAGCTGTGTTTGCGCGTTATTTGTTTTTGTTTGTTCGTTTCCCCTGCCTGATAGATTTGCCGTTGCCTAGCTGGCCGTCTCTGTTCTCCCGTAATCAATCTCTTTTGTAGATGTCCCTCCGCTCTCTGCCTGCAGTTCTTTTTTCCTCCCTCCTACTCTCTGCTGCCTACTTTTTCTCCAGCGTTCCACTGACATCACATGGACTGTAGTTCAACACACACACACATCCCCCCCCCCTCCACACACACACACTCCTCACTAATCTCGCTCTCCCTTTTCTCCTACGCCCTCTCCCACACTGCCTCTCCAAAAAGATGAGAGGGGTGAGTTTTCTGTATGTGCGACTGATGTTATGTAAAGATGCTTGCAGCAGCAGCTAAATGTACATTTATGAAAGTCGAGTTGAAAACAGGACATTTCAGCACATTTACACTTTGCAAGAAGTTTGCAAAGTGGAGAACAGCTGATGGTTTACTCAGAAAAACAATCGGAGGTTGTCGAACTTTAAGGTTGGTGTGTTGGGTCACGCAGCTCCTGGTATTGTTGTAATTTGACGATGGGGGGTATGTGGAGCAGATGGCGCTGACAGACTGTAACTTACCTAACAGAGGGGAGGTCAGTGCATGCTGGGAAAGACCACAGAGAAGGAGGCTAATGTGCTTGATGAGCATAGTTGCCACGTGGGAAAATGTATAATTTGGGTTATGTTGGGACCAGAACGCCTCACTCTTTCTGTCCGGCTACCTGAGAAAAGCATTAATAACTAGGTCCTTGCTGACCTTTGACCTCGGCTGGCGGAGCACATGCTGGCTGAAGTTGGGTTTGCAGAGTCGTCACCGCACACAGTCACCTTGACAATGATAATCTGTCTCCCTGAGGCTATGACATCATTCCAAAGAAAAGGAAGATGAGGAGGAGGAAGATGATGTGGGCAGTGGGAGGGGGGATTTCTGGCTCTACAAAACCTCTGCAGCATCTCAGCTGTACCCCAGCATTCAACCTCTGCCGGGGGGACAAACGCAAGAGGAAGACCATCATCATCCTCCCAATTCCATCACAGTGAAAGCAAGGAGGAGCCAGGCGAAGGAGAAACTGATGCTCCCAGCAGGTGCCAACAAGTGAAGGTGGGAGATGAAGAGTCTGTGAGAAGAAGACACAGCTTCAAGAGACATCTACAAACGGGTGAGTGTCAAATATTTCTAAATTAAATCTAAATTATTTAGAAATCCTCTTAACTTCAGGACCTGACATGATAAACTGCTCACAAAGTTTATTGTGATTTGTTAAAGATAAAACCTTTTTTGCTAAAATTTTCCCTTATTTGGTAAAGATCATGAAAATTTGTGTTTGTAAAATTTACAGTGGAACCAAACTGTTTAGAGAAGTGTCTGACCTTTAGGTTAAACCGTACTCAGCACATTTATTCCTAAATGAAACGTGTTTTTAAGAAGACTGGTTTTATGAATTATAATCTTCAGTGGAATGCTTCAGCACTGAGTTCTGTCAGTCAGCCTCGTTCTCAGCATCAGTTACATGTTGTTGCTTTGTGCAAAATAAACTGCTCAATATACATAAAATAGAAATTCATCTTTGTCATCAAAACGAGGCGAAAAGTAAAAATCTATAAAATCACAATAAGATGTGATAAAAAAACCAAGTCATGATTAATAAAAGTTTAGTTATTCTGAAAACCGTTTTAATCTGTTTTTGTCATGACTGGAGTCCTCGCAGTCGTTTCTCGCTCCTCCTGCTCCTCGTCTCTGCTGCGATGCTGCATCCCGTGCTGCTTTGTGCCACTCTGCTCCTCCTGACTCCCTTTGAGGTCTCCGAGGCTCGTGCTCTGCATCCTTCTCCCGACGCTGCGCAGGTATTTCTGGGGGAGGATGATAAAATGTACTCCTGATTGAATTATCCTTCAGTTATTATTTTTATTTTCCTGCTCTGTAGTTCCTGGAGGAGTTTCTGGAGCGCCACAATGACCTCCTGACTCTCGACGACCTGGAGAACCTGCTGAACAGCGAGACAACGGAGGAGCAGTCTACCGTCTCCTCCGGGGTCAAAGGGGCAGAGTACCCCAAGTGGGCCGACGTCCAGCCTCAGCCCGAGACCCCCTGGCTCCGGCTGCTGAAGGGGGCTCTGGCCAGTCAGAGGAGAGCGGAACCGGAGCGCTCACGGAGGGGCTGGAACCGAGGATGCTTTGGCTTGAAACTGGATCGGATCGGGTCCATGAGCGGACTTGGCTGTTAGTGGAAGCGAAGAGGAGGAGGGGAGCTGAGACTGATGGCATCCTTCACCAACAGATAAAGACGTTTCCATGTAGTTTCTGTAGTTTGGTGTTAACTTACTGTCTTGTTATTGTAGTTTCAACAAGCCTAGATCAGATTCTTCACACTTTACTCCAAACTGAGTCCACGTTAGCCGTGTTTCCATCAAACCATCACCCTAAGTGCAGTAACTGTAGAGGTGGTTTGGGGTTTTTCTGTGTAAAACGCACCCGTAACAGACGTGGATTTCCTCACCTGTAATCCCCTGCGGTTTCCTTTAATGTTTGCTTTTGATTTGCATGAATAAATGGATTTGACATTTGTGGCGTTCTGCTTGTTGCTCACAGAAATCCAATTCCCGCCTCACTCGTGAAGCCCACACGCTTCGCTCCCTATTGACACCTGTCATCTCAATTTCTCCTTCAAATCGGAGTTTCGCATCCTCGTGACTTCGTTTGCAACTTGATGATTTATCGAGTGTTCTTGTGGCTGTTGGAAGAAGTTAACTCCTTCCCCCGTCATTCTCCTGCGTGGACCTGCTGCTACGGCCAAAACCGCTTATCACCCCGCCAGCACGGCAAAGATCCCAGGGGTGGAGGTGGGGGAGGAAAAGAAATCAAAGTCTGGTGCAGGAAAATGGAAATGATTTCATGTTTGTCAGATGAGCTTCTAGAGAACGTACATGCATAAAGATGAGTCTGCAGGCAGATGGAATTAAAATGTATTTTCCATCCTTTAATTTAAAATGTTCTGTAACAAACGAGGAGGCAGTGATATTTATAATCATTGACATAAAGGGGTCAACCCAAACGCACTGACTGGAAAACATATAGAGACATAAAAAAAACAGGAGAAATAATAAAAATGTTTCTATGAAAATATATTTTTAAACCATCTGAAGCAAATCAATATATTTCAAGCTTTTTAACAACTATATCCTAGTTTAATAGCATCACTTTCTGCTCAAAAACCGTTTTCAAGATTTTCTAAAGGCCTTTATGCCAATTTACTTATTTTAGCCAACGTCCGCACTTTTTTACAAGATTATTTATTTCTCAATTTTTTTCATTCCAAGCAAAGATTAAGATTCATAAAGGTTTAAATTGTGCAATCTAGACAAGCAAAATGTAAGCTATGTATTTTTTTTATTATAGTTGCTTTTAGGTTCTTATTTAAAGGCCAAACTATGATTAGTGTGTTAGTGTTGCACATTTTGCAACAATCACACAAGGTTAGAAAGAACCACTGTAAGTTTAGTAATACCAGACCAAGAAAGAGGCTGAACTGGTGGAGGATTTGGGGAAAAAAATCCAAACCCTGCAGAAGAGCCTGATGGTGTCCTGCTACACCAGCACCAATATGACTCACCTGCATTTACTTCACAAATTTACCAAAGGGTTAGCAGATGAGCTTCTAAATGTGTCTGATGAAAACTGAAAACGGGTTCTGTGGACTCATCAGATGCAAAGTCCAAACGAAACGCAGCACAGTTGAGCTAAATAATGCTTCAACCCTCAGTGCTGCCTCAGGGACTGGTAGGGAGGAAGAGTTTCCTGTTAAATGGTAGTTTCTAAATCTATCAACGTTCAGTCAGGTCATCTGGACGGTTTTGTGCTGAGACGTTTCATCCATCATCCAAAGGACTTCTTCAATTTGAGGAGCCACAAAAACAAAACTGATTCTCTACCAACAGCAGACTCCATAGTGGGAAAACCAGTTATGTTGGTGCTAAGATGACCTCTGGGGCCCACCCTCTCCCTCGTCAACTCCTCTGAGACAGTCATACCAAAGTGGTTCAAAACACCAAAGTTCATGCTCAATAATCCAGGTATAAAATCAAACAATGTTCAGTCAGGACTTCTGGACAGTTTCTTTTTTGTGCTGAGACGTTTTGTCCGTCATCCAATTGACTTCTTCAATCGAGTAACAAAAATCTAAATCTACACTTTTGTCATTGTTCTTGCAAATTTTAAGTGCTTCACAGCTTGTACTGATGGGCAGACAGGGATCAGGCTGGAAAAGGATGTTTTCCTTCACCAACATGCCCATTCAGGTCTGCTCCGATCACCACTCGCTCCTCCCAGGTTTATCACTTCATCCAGATCTTTCCAAAATGTATCTTTCTCCTCCACATCACATCCAACCTGTGGAGCATAACCACTGACAACATTTTGCATCAGACCTTCTACTTCTACCTTCAGACACATCACTCTATCTGACACTCTTTTCTCCTCTACTACAAAACGGATTCCAAAAAAGTTGGGACACTAAACAAATTGTGAATAAAAACTGAATGCAATGATGTGGAGATGGCAAATGTCAATATTTTATTCGTAATATAACATAGATGACAGATCAAAAGTTTAATCTGAGTAAATGTAACATTTTAAAGGAAAAAATATGTTGATTCAAAATTTCAGTGTCAACAAATTCCAAAAAAGTTGGGACAAGTAGCAATAAGTGGCTGGAAAAAGGAAATTGAGCATATAATGAACAGCTGGAAGACCAATTAACACTAATTAGGTCAATTGACATGATTGGGTATAAAAAGAGCTTCTCAGAGTGTCAGTGTCTCTCAGAAGCCAAGATGGTAAGAGGATCACCAATTCCACCATTGTTGCACAGAAAGAGAGTGCAGCAATACCAGAATGGTGTTACCCAGCGTAAAATAGCAAACACTTTTAAGTTATCATCATCAACCGTGCATAACATCATCAAAAGATTCAGAGAATCTGGAACAATCGCTGTACGTAAGGGTCAAGGCCGTAAAACTCTACTGGATGCTCGTGATCTCCGGGCCCTTAAATGTCACTGCACCTCAAACAGGAATGCCACTGTCACCGTGCCATCCGCCGTTGCCAGCTGAAACTACAGTGCAAAGAGGAAGCCATTTCTAAGCAAGCTCCACAAGCTCAGACGTTTGCACTGGGCCAGGGGTTATTTAAAATGGAGTGTGGCAAAATGGAAGACTGTTCTGTGGTCAGATGAGTCACGATTTGAAGTTCTTTATGGAACACTGGGACGCCATGTCATCCGGACCAGAGAGGACAAGGATAGCCCAAGTTGTTATCAACGCTCCGTTCAGAAGCCTGCATCACTGATGGTATGGGGTTGCATGAGCGCTTGTGGCATGGGCAGCTTGCATGTCTGGAAAGGCACCATTAATGCAGAGAACTATGTTCAGGTTCTAGAACAACATATGCTCCCATCTAGACGTCATCTCTTTCAGGGAAGACCCTGCATTTTTCAACACGATAATGCCAGACCACATTCTGCAGCAATCACAACATCATGGCTATGTAGGAGAAGGATCCGGGTACTGAAATGGCCAGCCTGCAGTCCAGATCTTTCACCTATAGAGAACATTTAGTGCATCATAAAGAGGAAGGTGCAACAAAGAAGGCCAAAGACGATTGAACAGTTAGAGGCCTGTATTAGACATGAATGGGAGAGCATTCCTATTTCTAAACTTGAGAAACTGGTCTCCTCTGTCCCCAGACGTCTGTTGAGTGTTGTAAGAAGAAGGGGGGATGCCACACAGTGGTAAAAATAGACTTGTCACAACTTTTTTGGGATTTGTTGATGCCATGAAATTTGGAAACAACAGATTTTTCCCTTAAAATGATACATTCTCTCAGTTTAAACTTTTGATCTGTGATTTGTGTTCTATTCTGAATAAAATATTAGATGTTGGCACCTCCACATCATTGCATTCAGTTTTTATTAACAATTTGTTTAGTGTCCCAACTTTTTGGAATCCGGTTTGTACATTATTTGCCAACTCTTCCTTCAGGACCACCCCTACTCCATTTCTCTTTCTATCCACACCATGGTAAAACAGTTTAAACCCTGCTCCAATGCTGTGAGCCTTGCTGCTCTTCCACTTGGTATTTTGGATGCATAAAACATCTACCTTCCTTCTCTGCATCATGTCAGCTAGCTCATACCTTTGCCTGTCATGGTCCCCACATTTAGAGTTGCAACCTTCAGTCCTACATTTTTGACTTTACTCTTTTCCCTCTGTCTCCTGACACGTTTCCCTCCTCGTGGTCTTCGACTAACAGGAGCACAATTTCTGTCTGCACCCTGTTTGTCAACAGCACCAACGTGGGTTCTTGTTAACCCGGGCCTAGCCGGATCCAGTGTTGTTCTTGGTTTGGGACTGGCACAAGAGATACACTGGCTTGTGCTCCCTAGTGGCTGGTTTCCAATGACAAACACTTTGTTTTAAAAAAAAGCTCAAATAGAGATGGAAAATTAATGTTGGTTGATTAGTTTTATTTTGACATTGCAAGTGGTGAAAATAAGGTAATCTAATACTCCTTTGTCTCTCTTTAGTTATAGAGTTTTGATCATTTGTGCCTCAATTTTTGTGTCGTAAATTAAAATTATTTCACAGAGTCAGGTTTGTGTCTGCATGACTTGGTCCTGATAATCAAAAATAAGGAGTTTTCTAAACGGTCATTTAAAATTTTTGAATTTGTGTCCCTGTGATAGACTTGCAACCTGGGTGTCCTACGCCTCGTGCACAGTGACCCCCGTGACCTGAAAAGGAAGAAGTGGGTAAAAGATAATGGATGGATGGATGCATGGATTTGTGTTTTATTATGTATTCTTAGGGCTTTAAATGTCTTAGAAAACTTACAAAAATTAAAGTAACATTTCTTGATATAAAAAGCAAAATAAACATTTCGCCATCTTGCAAGCCTTTTTTTTTTTTTAAGTTTTTAGCAATTTGTTAGCATTTGGAGTACATGTGTTGGGGATGACTCTCAGCTACTACCACACAAAGTTTCTGAGTTTCAGTTAAACTTGTCCACTAATTAAACAAATATTTTACTACCTGATGATGCCAAGAAGCTCACGGGAACGTTTAGTGCTCATAATATGTTTTGGTATCACCCTCAGCTACTACCACTCCAAATTTTAGCTCAATATCTGTCACATGTTACTGACTTATGATCATTTTTGGGTTTTCTCAGGTTCATTAGCTGTGGCTGCCATTTTGAATCATGTTGACTCCAAAAGTTCATCAGTTTTCAATCTGCATAACTTTACAACTTTTTCATTAAAAACTGTCCAGTGGTCCATGAGATATTTTGCTAACAGGCAGACCGACAAACACACACAGACATTTACATTATTGTCTTCCTTTTAAAAAATCCTTTTTCTTTAAGCTTGTAAACTTTTGTTTTTCATAAAACAACTCGGACCATGTTTCATGCCACAACACAAGATGGCGCTGCCAGACTTGTCTGTGCACAGCTGATGGTTCTGTTGATGCAACCTGGACTTTGTTCTGTTCTGTATGTCTGACACAAGGAAAAAAAAAAGTCTGACACAAGGTTTGTGTTGCGAAAATGAACCAAAGGCACCTCTGACATGAACTCAAGCTACTGCACGCACCACAAAACTCCAGATTTTACCATTCGTCCTCAACTGGAGTCCTGTCTGAAAAGTGAAAATGAGAACTTCATCAAGTTACGGCATTTATTATTTTCAATCTGTCACGTTTATTCTCGAGTTAAAATTATCCCGTTTTAATCTGGGTGTTGTGATACAGAGAGGACATGTGATCCGTGTGGGGCAGCACTTACAGCACTGAGGATAAGTTGGCCCTGAGTCTAATCTTAGCTTGACCTTTACTTCCCCTCTCTGACCTTGTGGGCGGCCGTGGTGCAGTGGTAGTGGCAGCCGACCTCTGATCGGAAGGTTGGAGGTTCGAATCCCGACTTCCCACACCATGTGCCGTTGTGTCCCTGGGCAAGACACTTAACCCCGAGTTGCTCCCGGTGGGACTGGATGGCGCCTTGCATGGCAGCCTACCGCCACCGGTGTATGAATGTGCGTGTGAATGGGTGGATGGCTGGTACTGTAAAGCGCCTTGGGGCCCCTCATAGGGGGCTTGAAGGCGCTATAGAAGTAAGCTCCATTTACCATTTACCATTTAAAGCTGCAAAGCAGCGCCTGAGCCCGGCATGCCTCCACTCAGGACTGTGGTAGTTCAGCTATGCCAGGACCACTGGACAGCTGCCACAAAGCCGTCCGCTTTTAGAGCAGAGCGGCCTGAGGTTCTTGAATCATCCTGATGCCATGTTGTGGGGGGGGGGGGGGTTTCAACTCAAAGACAATCCACCAGCCTGATTCAGATTGATTCAGACATTTTCTAACACCGTCCCTTCTTTTCTCGTGCCAGGAAAGAGAGTTCAAAAATAGCAGTGGAAGCAGCAGCTGACATGGCTGAACCTTGCCGTGTTTTGTGTGCAGGGAAGACAAGTGAAGGCATTTAATCTCAGAGCAGAAGTGTGACCCATCCCCCCCAACATCCTTCCATCACTCTCACACCTCCACAGCAGCAAACCCCTTTCAGCCGTTTCCAAACAGACCTCACAAACCCACAGTTCAGCTGAACAAATGGACTCATGCACGCTCCTCTGCACACGTCGGAGTCAAACTGAGCAGCCGAGCTTCAACTTTTGACTCCTGCAGAGGGAGCGGAGCGGCGGGGAGGAGAATGACAGCAGCAGAGACGTTTAAGTGAAGGGTCATGGTCTTTGGACATTAAATGTCACCGGCTGTAAGACAGAGATTTGATCCTCCTCCTCCTCCTTCGCTCCCCTCCATGTGTCTGCATTCAGCGAGAAGGTCAACAGGGGACCCCTTCTCTTTTTCCGCTCTGTGAGGCCTTCAAGGATCTAAATCCAGACCTCTGAAAGTTAGATGCAGCGAGACGCAGTGGATCAAAAACTTAATCATCAAGCTTCAGGCTTAAATCGAGCTGCAGCACTGAGATGAGAAGAGGGAAGCTTGATTTAAAAGTGGGGCTTCAGGAGTTGGTCTGCATAATGACCTTGACATTCAACAAAAGGGGGCGTGGCATGGACTGGTGGGCATCGAAGTGGGCGTGGCTCCACACTCTGGTCAATCATAAAAAGTCAGAGTTAACCTTTGGGCTCCTGCACTCACACCCGGAGTCTCAGGACAGACTGTCATCTCACCAACGGTAAAAAGAAAACTTTCAAAAACTTTTAATCAGGAAGCTGCATGATTAACTTGATTTAAAACACCTGGGGGTGGCAGGCTCTGCACGCGCTTAATTGGATATTTTAGAAATTCATTAACATGAAATTAAAACTAATTTCTCCAGTTATGTTGCTTTGAACTGGAGTTTCACACGTTTTGAAGATATACATTTTAATTTAGTTGGGTTTTTATAGTTTTGCAGCGTTTATATTGCTCTTATAAGATTAGTCTTGAGGTTTTAGTTAGACCGGAGAACTTATCTGAGGAGATAAGAAATATTAATGAGGTGGATCAAGAAACAAATGTAATAACTTTTTTTTTTGTTTCTTCTTTTTCCAGAGGACTAGACCAACCCAGGCAAAATGGTGAAAGTCGGTATCAATGGGTAAGAAAAATATTTTCACACCCTCATGTAGGAAAGTTAAGTCTGGTTTTTATGTCTTACAGTTCACTCCTGACTCAAAGTCCCATCAGGTCACATCATGAGAATTTTTAAAAGTGTTTTCAGTTTGTCCTCATCCGTAATTGTTTGAACTAGTTGTTATCTGAGTGTGTGCAACATGTGGACTGAGAGACAAAAGGTTGTGCAATGTGTGACTAAAAGATAACAAAATGCTTGTAGGAGTTTCATGAAGTTCGTCCATTTAGAATCTGTTACATCTTAAATTCTGGGTCTTTGTTAGAAAATATAGCTTTTTGGTCTCGGTTCTCTTTTTTTTTATTTATTTTTTTTAAGTCCTCGCATCTCGATGCTGAATAGTTGCTCTGAAAATCAGGATGAGCTGCAGACCATCAGCTGTGATGCTGTCCAGCAGCTGAAGCCACAAATATTTTCTAATGGAGGACATGCACAGGTGCACGAGCTCCAGACTGTGGACTGTTATCCAGCTGCATATTTTTCTTGACCCTTGAACTTTGGCCTTTAGCTGATAGCAGGGAGGGTATAACTGTGACATCAGGGTCATTCAACAGGACTTGTTTTTTGTGGCTGGAAGCAAAGTTTAAAACCTACAGAACACACAGATTGACGTTCTTTCCCTACATGCCACACTTCCTGCTCTCTGCAGTGTGCAACAGCGTATCAGTGCCAGACTTTTGGAACGGTGGTTAAAAATTAACTCGGCCCATTGATCGAACAGTGCAAGCGTTGCCACATTGGAGATGCATTTCGACTTTCATCCCCAGAAAGACTAAAAGCCCCATGACGCACCTCCCTCTGCCACTCCTCCTGAACTCTGCCCTTTCTGTGTCTGCAGACTCAGGTCTCCTGGTGTTATGTATATTCCCACAAGGGATAAATAAAAGCCAGACCCTCTCGGTAGACTGAATTCCTCTGAGGTTCAACAGAATGTCAAACCAGACTTCTTACTTTAAGGATTTGAATTTTTGTCACTGAATCTGTTCTGTTGAACTGACTGCAGATTGATGTGGTGCCGTGTGGCCATCTTGTGGCCAGACTAAGATAGAAGTATTTCTCTTCAGATTTGGCCGTATTGGTCGTCTGGTGACTCGTGCTGCTGTCACCTCCAAGAAGGTGGAGATCGTGGCCATCAATGACCCATTCATTGACCTGGAGTACATGGTACACATCAATATATTTACATAAAATAAACTTTTGGGAAATTCTATGAATTCCCAAGTTTTTATACATTTGTGTTGTAGTGAAAGTTCATCTCGTCTCTTTAGGTCTACATGTTCAAGTATGACTCCACTCATGGCCGTTTCCATGGAGAAGTCAAGGCCGAGGGAGACAAACTTGTCATTGATGGACACAAAATCAGCGTCTTCCATGAGTGAGTTCACCTGTTGTAACATCTTACAATGTGCGTACAGTAAAGTTTGTTTTTAAGAAATAAACTTACTACCTGCTTTGTTTTGTTTTTTGTCATTTGTAGGAGGGACCCAGCCAACATCAAATGGGGTGAGGCTGGTGCTGAGTACGTTGTGGAGTCCACTGGTGTGTTCACCACTATTGAGAAGGCCTCTGTACGTGTACTCTGTTCCATTTTAAATAAACTGTGCATGTATGTGCCAAAAAAAAAGAAAAAAAAAAAAAGAAGCTTTTTGATGACAAGATTTTAATTTTAATTCTGGTTTCAATGCAACTTGCAGACTCACTTGAAGGGTGGTGCCAAGAGAGTCATCATCTCTGCACCCAGCGCTGACGCTCCCATGTTCGTCATGGGCGTCAACCACGAGAAATACGACAAATCCCTCCAGGTTGTCAGGTGAGTTAATAATTTTGACCATTTTTAAAGGGTAAAATAAAATGTATATTTGCAGGAGAAACAGGAAAAATGTATTTTGTTTCATTTTGTTGATAGCAATGCCTCCTGCACAACCAACTGCCTGGCTCCCCTGGCTAAAGTCATCAACGATAACTTTGGTATCGTTGAGGGCCTGATGGTGAGAACTGTCCCTCTGCCTGACTAAAACCTCAACATATCAAGTGTTAAACCTTGTTTTTGTTAATTCTCTTTGTTTTCCATCAGAGCACCGTTCACGCCATCACTGCCACCCAGAAGACAGTGGACGGCCCCTCTGGTAAACTGTGGAGGGACGGCCGTGGTGCCAGCCAGAACATCATCCCCGCCTCTACTGGTGCTGCCAAGGCTGTCGGCAAGGTCATTCCTGAGCTCAACGGGTCAGTAATCAAAACATTGCCCTTTTTGTTATGCATATACATCCAGTAAAATGCTTAGCATTGACTCAAAGAATTACTTTTGTGTGTGTTTTTTTTTGTTTTTTTTTTTAATTTTACAGCAAACTGACTGGAATGGCCTTCCGTGTCCCCACCCCCAATGTGTCCGTGGTGGATTTGACAGTCCGTCTGGAGAAACCTGTAAGTGGCATTTTCTGTATTTATATTAGTACCCCCCCCCCACCCCTGAGTTTTTTTTCCTCTTTTACTATTTCTAGTCAATGTGGGGGGAAAAAAAATATCCTTGCAGTTTTTGTGTTCAAGACGTAGCCCTGCACCTAGTTTGAGCTTCCCACATGTATTCAGTTATTCAGCCTAGTTTTGAAATGAATACGGGGTAAATGCAAATTAATTTAAAAAAAATTGTGTTCGGACATGTTTTTTGGATGAAAACTTGTTCTTAAAAAATTTTATGTAAACAAACTGACCTTCATAATGGACTTCAAATCGAAAATGTCATCTCATAGAAAAACATTAAAATTGTCTTTTTTTTTTTTTTTTAATTTTGACTTTTTAATGGGGTTTGTAGTAAATTTAGTTTAATCAGTTAATTGAAAATCCAATCTATCCAAACATGGATTTTTAGTTACTGACTACAGTTTCTTGTCTTCGCAGGCCAAGTACGACGACATTAAGAAGGTTGTGAAAGCTGCTGCTGATGGACCCATGAAGGGCATTCTGGGATACACCGAGCACCAGGTCTTCACTCGGTTACAGTTTTTCTGCTATTCTTTTTGCTGGAGTTTCTCAACGTGACCATTTGCTCTCCTGCAGGTCGTCTCCACAGACTTCAACGGTGACTCCCACTCCTCAATCTTTGATGCTGGTGCTGGCATCGCTCTCAATGAACACTTTGTCAAGCTCGTTTCATGGTGAGTCTTCGCCATTGGTTTACTTTAAGTTACTCGTGTCTAGTGATGCTAACGCTTTTTAAAATTTTTTTAACTTTTTTTTTTATACAAGGTATGACAATGAGTACGGTTACAGCAACCGTGTTTGTGACCTCATGGCCCACATGGCCTCCAAGGAGTAAACCAAGCAGCTGACTGAGCGACACCATTGACCCACATTCTCCCGTCATCAGTGACTACCTGGTTCTGTCAGAAAGTCGACCCTTCCATCACCTTCCTGAGGAACCATCCCACATAAAAAATGATTTAATTTTTGACCAATTTTTTTTTTTTTTTTTGTAAACTCCCTGTCCTGTTCTTGTGTTGGAGTAGAGGTGTGAAAGTCGTCCTGTCTGTAGTACCGAAGTGCTGCAGTCAGAGGTGGAATAAAGTCCTTGTTGTTTGTGAGAAATGAGTCTTTTGTCTTTCAGTCAGGAGTATTGGTAGTAATAATTTTTGAGTTGTTGTCTCTCATCCAAAATGGAAATCAGAAAAGCCAATTTAAAAAAAATTTTTTTTTTTAAATTTTTTTACTAGTTATCTATAGTCCACCAGGCTCAGTTTTTGTCTGAATTCTCAGATAAAAAATTTTTTTTTATTATTATCTGACTTACTATTTAATACTGATAAGTCATAATAATGGGGGATTTCAACATTCATGTAGATGTTGAAAGTGATTGTTTTAAGCATAGCCTTTTTTAAAAATTTAAAAGTTTAAATTTGGGTTTTACCAAAAATGTCTACACATTCTCATCACACTCTTGATCTGATTCTGACATATGGCATAAAGATACTTGGTAACACATCCGCAAAATCCTGTTCTGTCTATTTTTTTTTTTTTTTAAATTACCTTGAGTTTAAATTAAATTACTACACAGACACTTAGAATAAATTTCATTATAGTAGATGTTTATCAAACACTAACCAAATTGAATTTAAACTCTTCAATTATTATTTCCTCTGTATTGCAGAGTAATGCACCAGAGAGCAGTGACTTGGATGATCTGGTTAATAAATTTACAACTCTAATGCAAACTTTACTTGATAAAATAGCTCAGCTGACAAAGTAATCAGAGGAAGCTGGCTCCTTGGTTCAGTTCTGAGTTACGTACTTTAAAACAGAAACCTGGAAAGAAAATGGCGCACTACTAACATGGAATAATTTTATTTACCATGGAGTGATGGCCTACTAACATACAATAAAGTAAAGTAAAGCTAGAACTGTATATTATTCACTTTATTGAATGAGAATAAATATAACCTCAGGTGTTCAGTACTTAAGCTTGACCAATAAAAAGTCCCATCTGTTCAAGGTGACTTTAGTGTCATTTGCATCATATGTTGTGCCATGTGTCCCTAAGCAGTGATGACTTAAGGTTTTTTATCAATAACATTATTTCAATTAGTGAGAAAATTCAAACCATCCTTCCTACTATTGCCTCTGATTCCCTGTCAGATGAGGCAGCTTTAGAAATATTACTAGAACCTGATTTGTGGTTGGACTGCTTTTGTCCTGTTGAACTGTTGAATCTTCTTTCCTCTTTTTGACACCATACACAATGGTTTAAATTAAGTGGCTCCCATGGGATTAATAAATGAATTTTGGATTGGTTAATTAAACAATGAAGAGGTTTGTTTTAATGAAATTGTTCGCCACACTTCCTGTAGGATTAACAATTGTTGAATTATCTGAACACTTTTATTGTTTGGAACTGTGGAGGTGGATGTAAATTCAGAGAGTAACATTTTAAAAAGTGAATCTACTTCTTCCCACTGCCATCTTAAATTTATCCAAATAGTAACTTCAGTTTAAGATGCAAAGCTTAATCCAGATCTTTAGAATAATAATAAAATATCAAATATCTTACAACTTGTCTTTAAGTATTTCAGTTTCAAGAAATATTTTAATTGTGAGCAGCTCAATCAGCAGCTCGTCTACTTTCACAGATATTTGTATGCACAAATAGCAGCGGATAGCTGTAGCATTTCTGGTGCAGCCTGGGGTGCTCCCACCTCAAATATTTTTCTGTTGTATTGCCCATGAAATGCAAAAATGTTGATTAAAATTGTTTATGAATGATATAATTATGAAATGTTAGATCACAATTAGGTAACACTGAAGTCCTAATTAAAAGCTGCTACATCAAATATAAGATGCAAAGTTTATGCCAAATCAAATTGAATGATGCTTGGTCATCTACAAGATGCTAAGTTATAAATATAAGATGCTAAATCCTATTTATGCTAAGTCATGAAATCTCAAGTCACCATTTTAAGATGCTAAATTCTTATGAGATTCAAAATCTTAAATATTAAAAACATCATCCCACTTTTATTTCATATTCTTACGTTAATTTTACTAAGCATTTAAATATTGTTTAGATGTTGATGTTTAGATGTTTGTGTTCTTTTGTACAGCACTTTGGTTGGCCTTGTTGCTGTTTTAAGTACTATATAAATAAATTGGTATGGTATGGTAGATGGGTTAAATCATAACTGTTACAAGCTAAACTAGAGAAATTGCATTTCCTGTGAAAATGCAGTGTGATTGCTGAAGAACTTGCTGAAAAACAGCTGAAATGGAACTGGAATTGAAGAACAAGCCTACGTTATCAGAAGAAAGCAGACAGAACACACATTTGCTGAATTAGGTTTAAATAAGCAGAAATGAGCACAAAAATTAGGAAATCAGCTAAAAAAGTCTGAAAATTGCAAAAGTAGCTGAAAATTAGCTGAAAAGGTAGAAAGAATCTTAAACTACCAGAAGTGGAAGAAGCTGAAATGAGCTAAAAATGTGGAATTGGCTAAAAAAGCTATAAATAAATAAAATTAGGCTGAAAGTAGCAGAAATTACCAAGTAAAACTTAAATTAATCTGAGAACAGCTAAAATTTGCTTTAAAAAAGTAGCTGATAAGGTAGAACAAGCTTCAATTGGCATAGGAAAGCAGATAAAACACGATTGCTCAATAAGGCTTAAAGAAGCAAAAATGAGAACAAAAAAGCAGAAATTATCTGGACAAAACTGAAATTAGCAACAACAACAAAAGAACAGCTGAAAAGTGGCTAAAAAGCAGAAAGAAGCTTAAATTTCCAGAAAGAAATGGAGAGAGTGCATTTTTGCTGAATTAGGCTGAAAAAAATTAAATGTGTGCAAAAAGTAGGGAATTCGCTGCAAAAGCTACAATTAGCATAAAACAGATAAATAGTGGCTGAAATAGTAGCTGAAACTTGCAGAAATAAGCTGAAAGAGCATAAAGAGCTGACATTAGAAGAAAGAAGAAGCACAAAAATGTTGTAGCAGAAAGAATCTGAAAGGAGCACAAAACAGCTGAAATGAGCAGAAAATAGGTGAAAACATGCTGAAAAGCTGAAAGTAGTTGAACCAGAACAAAATGTAAAATGAGCAGTAAAAGGATGAAAACAGATCTAAAGATATGGGATGTAAATTGAGTTCAATTCATATGAGAAAATAAAATGGCAGAAAAGGCTAAATAGCCTATTTCAAAAAGCTAAAGTTGCACAAATACCAAAAGTCATAGCACCGTTCTGAAAGAGCTGAACGTTTTTGATATATGATTTGTTGAAATAGCACAAATATTGTGGAATAAGAAAGATGCTGAAAAAAACAGAAGAAAAATGGATGTATAGATGCAAAATCATATTTTTAGAAGCTGGGTCATAAACTATGATATGCCAAGTCATTTATAAATTGTAATTTTGAAATAGTGCCTCCTGAATATGCCAGATTATTGTACACTGTTTCAAATGAAAGTGTCAGAAGAATCCAGGAGGTCAAATCGTTGTGCGCCTCCACTCGGGTGTTTACGGCAGGACTCGGCTCCTCCAGTCCCGCAGCGCTCGTCTTCCTGCGGTTACATCTTTATCTGGACTTCACCGCCGCAGAGACGCTGGATTTCTTTCTTATTCATTCAACCTCTGCGTCTTTTATTCTTCTTCTTTTTTTTTTTTTTTTACTTTTATTTCGCTAAATATTGAAGTACATCGTCAGCCGCCCCGGCTCGTTTGTTTTTGTCTTTGTGCACCGTCAGAGGCAGCAGTCGACGTTCAGGACGGAACTCTTATATAATCAGATTAAACCCTGGCGCGCCTCGTCCTTGTGGGTTCAAAGAGTGTACTTAAAGATTATATTCCTGTGTAGGAAGACTGCCTGTCCGTGTTCATGCCAGATCTGCAGCGCTTCAGTTTTAAATACCATAGCATGAATCCTTTGTTGGGGGGCAACCCGCACCTCCAACAGCTCCCGCAGCACATTCAAGGACACCCGGACTCCCCCTCAGGACTCCTGCCTGAAGCCGTGCTCGGTGGACCGGACCCGTCCCTCCTCCTGCTGGGTGAGTCCGACCAGACGTCACCTTTCTTGCACCACAGCAGCCCCTACCAGCACCGCGCTGCGGCGCCGCACCCCCCCGCAGCCATGGCCCTCAGAAACGACCTGGGCTCCAACATCAGCGTCCTGAAAACCCTCAACCTGAGGTTCAGGTGCTTCCTGGCCAAGGTGCACGAGCTGGAGCGCAGGAACAAGACCTTGGAGAAGCAGCTGCAGCAGGCTCTGGAGGCCAACAAGGCCTGCGCAGGTGGATGCTGCAAGAGCAGGTGCAGCACCCAGGAAGCAGGGGTGCAGACTGGATTTGTTGGGACCATACCGCTCAGACCGGGCTCCCTTCCCTTCCACAACACCAACAACTCGGCCAGGAGGCCCACGACTCTGTTCACGCCTCCCCTCACCTCATCCTTTGGACCAGCATCTTCTGAGAACTCCAGTTCAACCCAAACTAACGGCACCTGTAACCCAGTCATCACCATCAGCCAGCCCTCCCCCTGTGTGGACTCTCCAGGTTCCAACAGAACCACCCACAGCATCGGCACAGGCCCTGGCAACTCCACCAACCCTCCTCCACGCTTCCTGCCGGGGACGATCTGGTCGTACAACCACACACGCAAGTTTGGACCCGGTGCTGAGCGTCTGACCAGCCCCGGAGTGTCCTGGATGCACCCGGACGGGGTCGGGGTCCAGATCGACACCATCACCCCTGAGATCAGAGCCCTGTACAACGTGCTGGCTAAAGTGAAGAGGGAGAGAGACGAGTATAAACGCAGGTAAATGGACTTGAAGCTGTTTATTTTACACCTTCGGTGGTTCTGTGGAGCAGGAGTGTTTTGTAAAGGTGTGCTTCTCTGCAGATCAGCTGTTTCCAGAAGCAGCTGAGTCAGTAAAAACAACAACAACAAAAAAAACCCTCTCAGTCCTGCAGCCTGGTCTGCAGCTGCTTCATGTCTGACCACAAAGACAGGTGCTGGTACCACAAATGCACATCGAGGAAACAGCTATGGAAGTGTGAGGAGCTAAATATACATTAGAAAGACATTCAGTGCATCAGTGTAAGAGCCGAATGGAAACATAAAGCCCAACAGTGTTTGAGAAGTCCAGATCCAGAGGATGCTTGGTTTATAGAAATACTCCTGACGTGCCGATTAAGGCATCAGCTGATTAATATAAGTTTGGGCTGTGTCTCTGTTTTGGTGTCGTCGTTGGTTCAAACCGTTTCTGTGTGTTGACGCAGCTCACATCGGACAAGCAGGATCAGCCCACACAGCCGTCATCATTCAATACGGGATGTGGGTCGGATCCGGGCCACAGCAGCTTTTATCATCTGGGATTATGTCATTTTCTAAAAAGTCCTATAAGAAAAATGCATTTCATTTTTTAAATCTGAATACTTCAAAAAGGTACGCGTTACAAACTATAAACCCAAACATCAAAAGATGGTCCCAAACTAAATTATGAAATGGTACAGTTCAGTTATTGTTGGTGAGAGTTGGGGCACACGATTGACCTACATTAGGCTGGTAGGCAGGACTTGATTTGAGCCGGGTCCTGCTGGAACAGGATTCGGGAACTTTTATTTTGACAGGGTGCGTTCCGGTAACTGTTTGCTTGGATCTGGTAACTCTCAGGCTTCTTACTACCACTAATAATATTAATAATATCAAGATATTTAGTCATGGCGTTGAAGCTCCAGTAAAAACACAGCTCTCCAGTCAAACACATAACTTTTCTAAAACTCCAACACCACTTCAACCCAACCAGTCATTTTACTTGAACATAAATATACACCAGTACATCCGAATTGTCAGACTTTTTTTTCCGATTCTTCTTTGGACGTCGACAGTGTTGACCCATTTTCAGTCATTTCGGCTGTTTTTGAACGTAAACAAATCCCCATGGCAGCTGCAGTTGTTTTTGTTAGCTTAAAAAAAAAAAATTAAATTTAGGGACACGTTACATATGAATATGGAAAAAAACCTTACTTTATGTAATTTTTAAAAACTTTTTTTTTGTTATCTTCATGACATTGCAATGAGAACTTCTTTAAATCTCCATTTTAAGAAGGCAGGTGACTTGTGTGTGTGTGTGTGTGTGTGTGTGTGTGTGTGTGTGTGTGTGTGT